AACATAATGTTGTCTAGGTGTATATCTGTTTTAACATAATAATGTTGTCTAGGTGTATATCTGTTTTAACATAATAATGTTGTCTAGGTGTATATCTGTTTTAACATAATAATGTTGTCTAGGTGTATATCTGTTTTAACATAATAATGTTGTCTAGGTGTATATCTGTTTTAACATAATAATGTTGTCTAGGTTTATATCTGTTTTAACATAATGTTGTCTAGGTGTATATCTGTTTTAACATAATATTGTCTAGGTGTATATCTGGCAGGTCCCATGGATCCTAGTTCTCAGCCTTATCTTTCCCAGGTAAAGATCCAGACTGTAATGAAATGTTGAATCAATTTTACAGACCAGGTCAACAGTTTGGCCTTATGTTTTACCTAACTAATGTCCTATAGTTTTTGTAGCCCTTGACATGTAAATTTTTAGACAGCTGTAAAACACTTGTTTTTAGCTTTGTTTTAAAGAAGTAATTGGCAAAATTCTCATCGATTTTTTGTTGACAGATTGAAATCTTTTAATCACTGTGCTTTAGGAACTCAAAGTCTAATTTTCATATCCTATATACCTGTGCTACCTCCTCGTACAAACCCACAATATTTCAAACATTGCCAATTTGATATAGAAGTAATAGTTTGGAACAATATATAATAATTGGTCTACCACATCACGTTGCAAAGATGTTGGGATAAGAGAATAAGAATTTGATGAGAGGTTAATATATCACCTGTAAAAACGCTTGATTGAATAAATTTTGAATTATNTTTTCCTGAAAGATGTTCAAATTTCAAACTCTAGAAAAACAAATTTTGTAAGGCTTAGAAACCGTAAAGTTTTGGTTTTCAGACATTTCCTTTAGAGTTCAATAACACTTAGAATTAAAAATCTATTATGACGAATCGGCCTTTTTTCCATTAAAAGTCAATTGAACTTATGTGTTTGATGACATTGATTCGTTTTAAGATTTGTCCTGTCCTACGTTCCTGATGCAGGAAATCCAGGCCCTCGCGAGGGAGTGGAATCAGCTCAGGGAGTGAGAGGAGGGAGGGAGTGGGAATGGGGAGGGATAGAGCAGGGTTGGGATCCAGCGAGGAGGGCAAAATCCCTCGCTTTCCTCGGGAGGGACGAGGAGGGGGAGGAGGAGGAGAAGAAGAACGAAAATGATGAAAATGATAAAAATGAGAACGAGGTTGAGAATGAGACTGAGGAACCAGTAATTACTGAATCTGAAACTACAAACTGGAAATCTTAATCATCAAATCTTTCAAGGTTCATAATTAGAGGGACATTAGCCTTGACCCTCACCACTCTTTGTTTATGTTCATATCCATATCTTTTTCATCAACTGTAATCTATATCCATATCCATATCCATATCCATATACAATATCCAAATTCATATCTTTATCATCAGCTGTAATCTATATCCATATCCATATACAATATCCAAATTCATATATTTATCTTCAGCTGTAATCTATATCCATATCCATATCCATATCCATAAAAAATATCCAAATTCATATCTTTATCATCAGCTGTAATCTATATCCATATCCATATACAATATCCAAATTCATATATTTATCTTCAGCTGTAATCTATATCCATATCCATATCCATATACAATATCCAAATTCATATCTTTGTCATCCACTGTAATCTATATTCATATCCATGTACAATATCCTAATACATTTCTTTCCATATTCATTTTCATATTTATGTTTATTCATATCCTTATCCTTATCCAATAAACCTGTCCATAATCCTATTTATAACTGTATCCATATCTCTATCCATATCCATATTCCTGTCCAATAAACCTGTCCATAATCCTATTTGTAACTGTATCCATATCTCTATCCATATCCATATTCCTATCCAATAAACCTGTCCATAATCCTATTTATAACTGTATTCATATCTCTATCCATATCCACATTCCTATCCAATAAACCTGTCCTTTATCCTATTTATAACTGTATCCATATCTCTATTCTTATCCCTATCCATATTTATATCAATACACCATGTTTATATCCATACCTAATGAATAATGATATCTAGCTGAATCCATGTCCATTACAAAATCCATACCAATATCCCAATCTATATCCCTGTCCATATCTGTTGAATTGCAATTTTTATCCATATCCATATCAGTATTAAAATCCTTGTTCATTTGATTATTGATATCCATGATTTTGGAAAAACTTGGAATGGATAAGTGTATAGATCATAAGTCAAGATTTATAATTTACAATTTTCATTATCCATATCCATAGATCTATAGATCTCGTGCAATCTTAATCCAAATCCATATAAATTTCCCTTCGCGATGTAGAGAATTTCTTTCTGCATTTAAATTCTAATGTTTTGTGTCAAATTGTAAAATTTTTGAACTGTTCATAAAAATAAAGGTTGTCAAAAAAGTCTTTTACCATTAAAATGTTAATTTAAAAAATTTTTGACCGACAATACATGATAATGAGGGACGTATTCAGTAATTAGTTTATAGGCTTACATTTTTTTCTGTATAGGGGTGTGGGGGGGGGGGCTAAGCACCAGTTTGGGCACAAAAAACCTGGAAATCATGGATTTCACTGATCCAAGGGGGGCTAGGCCCCCATAGCCCCCATCCCAAATATCCTCTGATGACAAGTCATTTTTATGTTTATTGTCTCTCTTGGCATAATTTCCATCCAACATCAGGCACTTCAAAGTTTTACAAAAATTACCTCCTGAACATCAAAAAACCGTTCAACTTTCTTTTGATACACACTTTGTCCTTACATTTAAAGACAACCTCTAAGTCGTCTTTCAACATCCCATGAAATCAAATATATGGGCGGGGCCGGGGGGGGGGGGCACTTTCCATGAAAACGACTCTAAACTGTTTAAAACTGTAATTACTGGTTAAAAAGGAGAAGAAACCTCCACAGCTGAACGTGAGTGATAAGAATAGTCCGTATGCTCTGATAGATAAATATTTCCCGGAGAGAGAAAGCTATTTTTACCAGAACAAGAACAGTTTTGTGCAACAATATGCGAGGAAAATTGGATAAACACATAAATATTTATAAATTAATTTTTTATTGTTATTTAAAACTCAAAGCAATATAAATAACTTTTAAAATCTAAAAAAGTGAATTTATCATAAAAAATGAGCCTATGATATCAGCCTAAAACTTTGAATAAGTAACTAACCATCACTTGCCTCTGATGTTTAAAATTTCTATTCACTAGCCTTATAGGGCGCTTCGCGCCCATCTTCTAAATTAATTGTGAACATGTTCTCTTTGTGTACATCGTAAAACAAAACAAAAATAATTCGCGNAACTTTTAAAAACAAATTTTTAAAAATTTGATCATTCATAAACCTTCCCTGGGGTCCCTAGATGTCCCACAAAAAATTTGGGCCCGATCGGTTCAGCCGTTTTGACGTTTATTGGATACAAACAAACAAACAAACAAACAGACAGACAAGCCAAATTTATATATAGATGCAACCTGGCTTCGTTAACCTTTCATATTTTTAGTTTTAAATTTTGAGTCAAAGATTGAAATAGCAAAGATTAACACTTTGAGCTTGGAAAGATGGTATAGACAATTACAGTTTGTGGCAAGTGATCAGTTGATTTACTCTCTTTTACTCTTTAATCAAAAGATAGACAGTCGACTTTTTATTAAGAAATGATTGCGCAAAATGTGAAAGTTTAATTTTTTTAGCAACTTTTGAAAAATCTGAGCATTTGTCACAGCCTAATATTTTGTTATATTTATCTCACATTATATTCGAAAGATCAAACTTTTGTTTGTTGTTTATCCTTTGTTCATTAAGGGAACTAAAGCCAAGTATAGGAAACCTGGATCCTGAAGAGGTAAATTTTAAAATAATTAAATTTTGAAAAAAACAAAACATTATGAACTATAAAGTCATTTTTTTGCATTTTGATATTCTCTGATATAATCTTTTGTGTCTTGTCAAGTTTTTCAAGATTGCAATGTCCGATTTTAAACCTTTATATAATCAAAAATGTGGAAGATATCGTTGTTGTTCTGACTCGAAGAGTGTTTATTTCTTTGAGTTTCTCCATTGCTTCTTATAAAAAGCAATGCGCAAGTCAGAGAAACCGCGAATGAAAATAAACATTTAAAAGAAATAAAAACATCAATAAAAACATACTGGACTTGATCAGACAAAGACAGTAAAGGGTATCGTTGTAAATCTGACATTGCCATCTTTGTATCGAGTGTAACTTGAAATTACGCTAACAGTCCCTTTAATATGATAGGTTAGGTTCTATATTCTGTGTTCTAGGTTTGGCTGGTAAAGGATAATCTGCTTGTTCTCCGAGGTGGTTCTACACCTGATAGGAACGGAATAGATGATGTTTGGGAACCATTAGACGACTTTCAGGTAAACTTAAATTTACTAATTTCTATATCTTCACAATCTGATATTTGAAACATTGATTATTTAATCTGACAGTAGTTTGAAATATCAAAGGACTTCACGACATTGGGTTGCAAAAATAAAGGGATAAGAACATTTAGTTTGTGACAAAAACTCAATTCCGTTGAGTCTTTAACTTTTTGTAAGTTTTTATGTTCAAATAAAAAAACCTAGTCAAAACCTGTATCTTTCAAAATTTAAATTTGAAAATCTAAAAATTTTATTATTTTAACGAATTGAGTCTTTGCCACAAACTCTTACATTTTAATCCCTATATATTTGCAACCTATGTCGTAGACCCTAGATATTTCAATTTATGAATTATGTTAGATCAAATAGTCTTAGTTTGAAATATCAAAGGTTCACGCAATCAGGTTGCAAAGATATATATAGTGATTGACAAATTTGATTTTGTGGCAAAAACTAAAATTGTTTTCCTGTTGTAGGCTCCTTATCGTGAACCTGTTCTTCCTCCTCCTGATTTCGACCCGGAGACCCTAGACCTCGGTGTAGGTGTTCCTGTTCATGAGATAGATTCACACCGGGAGAATATTCTCCGACAGAGGGAGGAGGACCAGCTCCGACAGAGGGAGGAGGATCAGCTCCGACAGAGGGAGGAGGATCAGCTCCGACGTGAGGAAGAGTTGAGGACCAGGATTGAGAATCTAGGTTCTGAAACTGAGACAGAGAACGAGATTGATGTAATATCTCCGGTGTCCTCCTCAACCCGTCCTAGTCCTGAGTCAGAGAACCATCACATTCAGCAGATTCTTCAACCTTTCAAGGAACAGTTTTTAACAAAACATCTTAGTTCTTTTATACTTATTCCAGAAGTGAAAGGAGTTGATTAGTTTCCTTTTTCTTCTAATGCCGTGGACATTTTTTATTTCAAACTATGAATTCGAATTGATCAAATGGTCAAATTGAAATGTCAAAGGTTTACACCATAAGGTTGCAAAAATGTAATTATGAGAAAATTAAAGTTTAATGCAAGAAATTAGTTCCTTTTTATCATTTTATTTGGCATTTAAGAAAGCTTTAAATTACTTAAAAATTTCAAGACGAAATCATGGTTTGTCTAACAAAATTTGAATGAATTCACACATATTTACTATTTATCTTTTCATTCTTTTTATTTCTGAATTTTACTCTTTAATCCTGGCCTCATGCTGATCATTTATTACAAGCCAGTCATAAACTAGATTGAAATTAAGTCAAATCTTTTGTCAAGAATTAACTCCAAATATGGTGTTAATCCTTCACGTTAAAATTAATCGGTGTTATAAATTGAATAATCATTGGCCCGATACCACCCGCCCCTGTAGAACACCATTCTGTAAATCATTTGATTTTTTTCAATTAACAAAATAATGTTTAAAAATACTGTTATTTGTAGGAAGAGGTTTCGGCTGGTAGCCCTGATTATAGATCTTTTCTAGGCAAGATTTAAATAATTCTTAAAAATACAATTTTCACAAAATCCATAAAAAATAGAAAGATCTTATTTTTGTGTTGAGTTTACCTATGATTTTAAACTAATGTAAGGTTTAGTTGTGTGCACAGTTTTCTTGTAAATATTCATGATATTTAACTAATGTAAGGTTTGGTTGTGTGCACAGTTTTCTTGTAAATATTCATGATTTTCATATTTCTCCGAACTAATCAACTGCCTCTAGAACAAGGTTTCAATTCTTCAAATCCAAATTTATTTAAATTTTTCTCAGACGAGGTGACTCAGTTTATTTCTCAAATGGAAAACTTTCACGCTGAGAAAAAGATAAAGCCCGACAGAGAGAGTTCTCAGGGTACACTCGAGAACAAGGAGCAAATTCCCAGTTCTTTGAACATCCCTGATCCGGAACTGAAACCCAGTCAGGAAAATAAAATCAACGAGATTTCGGAGAAGCATGTTCAACCCAAACCTCACGAGATCAGTACACTTCCTCCCTTCTTCACTCCGAGACCAGATTCAGACGGGATTTCGTTCCGACCCGACCCGGCTCAAAGAGCACTCTTTTCACAACCTGGAGACACTGAACCTTGGGAGAAGCATCCAACGTTTTACTCCTCTCCAGTTTCAGAAGTTTATGCTTCAACAGGATCCTTTCCGTCCTCTACTCCTCCCACTTCTCCAGATAGTTCAACACCTTCTCCTACAAGATCTTCAACACTAGCCCCCTCTCCTATTCCTTCCCCATCTCCATCTCCCTCTGCTTCTCCTTCTCCTAGTTCGATTTCAACCCTTGGTCCAGTTTCTACAATTGAGGAAACCTTATTAAAAATATTGTTATACAACCAGAATTAAAAGGGAGGGGCGGGGCGGGGGGGGGGGTATTTAAGGAAAAACTGCGAATAAAAATAAAGCTGTGCCAATTTAATTCATAATTTGACTACACCTCATATTTTGCAAACTCGGCGTAAGGCGTTCCAGGTCAAAACGCTAAAGTCAAGTTCATCAACCTGAATTTGAGTAGATTAAAGTTGATGGTTGAATATAATTAATATGGTTTTGCTTCTCAGGATTGGTTCAGCTTGTTTCCAAGATTTAGCACGGAACCAACCTTTCTCCGGGATAGAGAATACCAGACTCCGAGACAACGAAGTACAACAACCCCTCGACCTGACGTTACACCTTCTCCTTACCCGTCCTTTATCAGTTCTTCTCCACATTCCTTTATCAGTTCTCCATATCCTTCCTTCTCCTCCTTCCCAACCCAACCGTCATCTTCTCTGCAGCAGCAGAATTCTAAATCCTTTAAAGAGGTACAAAGAGAAAGCAAACCCTTCCAACCTTCTCGGCAGGAAAAATCATTTAACTCCGGAGATCTTAGAACCTCGTCCCGTTCAGAGGAATCTTCTCATAGTATCAGACAAAAGGATGAAAGATTGTTTCATCAGTGGAACTCTGGGGCCCGGAGAACAACTCCTAAACCCAACCCTGCTCCGGGTGGGAAGGAGAACTGGTGGGACGGTATACCAGAGATACCTGGATCAGATCTGCTCCGTCATTACTCCAGAACCTTTGAAAATGAAATATCTCCGGTTCTGGCCAGTTTAAACCCTGCGGCTAGAACAGAAGAGATTTCGCAGCCTAGATCTGATAATGTTAGACCTGAAACTAGGGTGCTTACTCCTAGGATAGGTTCACAATTACATACATCTCACGGTGCTAGTTCAGACCAGTACCCGGAGAGACAAACACGTCCTAGAGCTGAGATTAGATCATTTCCTAAACCTATGTACTCCGGGTTTGTTCCTGTAACCTCACCCCCAGTACTCTCCGGTTCTCCTGGTCCTACACCACTCAGTCTCTTCAGCTCTGTCCCGGAGAACATTGACGAACACGCCGTCTTCGATCTTTCCCGTCATGTAGAGTTCGGTACAAGGTAAGGAGAAAATACTATTTTAAAAACTGTTTATCGTTTATACAAACAAAATAAGGAATCAGAGTTTGGAAATTATTTAACATCAAGGTTCAACTATAACCTCACTATAGTACTTTTCCAAATCAACTTGAAACAATTGGGCAGTAAAAGCTGTTCCTACATATATCAAATACTTCTAGCTTTTTATAGAGGAATTGAGTCTTTGCCACAAACTCCGATAGTATAATCCCTATATCTTTGCAACCCAATGTCGTAGACCTTTGATATTTTAAAGTATGAATTCTGTTAGATCACATAATTTAAGTTTGAAATATCAAGGTCTACACCCCTACTCACTCTAAGAAGTTTCAAATTTTCATCTAACAAAATTTGTTGGAGCAACAGCATCAAATTCACCTTAGCACAATCATTCGTCAAATTTTGTTGAATGATTCTGCTAAGGTGAATTTGATGCCGGTGCTCCAACAAATTTTGTTAAAGGGAGTGTTCGCGAAAAATGAAAGGGGGTATGGGCTTAATGTGATAAAAAAGCACTTTTGATCGCTACTAATCTTACTTCTATCTGTTGCGCCTAAAAGGTGAAAATTGTTATAGACGTCTCATACCGAATAACTAAGCGCCCATACAAATTGAGAAATTTGCAACATACGACTTAGCCCGTAAAAAAATCAATTTAATTTCAAACAAATCATTCAGATATTACAACCTATAGTCATCGATTATCTTTCGCCACATTTNACATTTATTCAAGAATTTATTTTCAATTCCCCACTACCCTGAGTTCTACCATTTATATACAAATCAATACACATCTTTATTTTTAAAATTTAAATTATTACTACTTTAACTACCTTCTATTTACCTGACATAAAGCTAATGTGAAAAATAAGGCATTTTATACATACAGGCAGGGATAGGGTTAATTTACACTGATGCAAAAACGGTTTAACTGCGTTTCACCCAGGTTTAATGCCATTTAAATCTTATTGTTTTATCCAGAATCCCGAGCAGTAGAGATCATTACGATCCCCCCAATCCAACACCTTGGTCCAGATCACCGCAGTATCACCAGAACGATGTTGACCCTGTCTCTCGTCGGCAGGGTCCTCCCAACATTTCGCGCCAAAACCTTCCTCGTCTTCAAAATCAGAGACAACGGCAAAATGACCGGCCTGCACCACAGCCTAGGTTAGTTGCAATCAAAATTTTGACAACATAGATCAAAAAAGTTTGTCCTAGATACTTAAAGGGACTGTAAATATAATTTCAAGTGACTCTTCATGAAAAGATGGCAATGTCCGATTCACAACTGTACCTTTGAAAGCTTTGTTTGATCACGATTGAATTAGATTGTTTGCTTTTAAAAGTTACTTGTGCATTTCTTGATTCAGAAACACTGGAAATTGTTAGAATTAAACACTATCGGATAACGACGTTAGTTTCCATGCGTTTGATCAGATTAAGGTTTCAAGGGTGCCGTTATGAATCACGCATGCTCCTTCAAAGGAAGTGAACACGTGTCTCAAACTCTAATTTTCTACCTTTATCTTTGTAACCTAATGGTGTAAACCTTTGATATTTTAAACTAATCCTATTTGATCTGCCACAGAATTCTTAGTCTTAAGTGTTAAAGGTTAAAAACATCAGGTTGTCAAGCTATATGGATAAAAAAGTAGAATTTGTGTTCAATTTCTTAAACATATTACATCAATTTGAGGGTTATCTGAAAAAGAAAACTTTTAAGATTTGAATGTTTATTCCAAGTACTTGACAATTAAAAATTAATGTTAAATAAAATTATCAGGAATAAACTGTATGACATTTTTTGTTTGTTTTTAAATTCATCATTTGTTTGTTTTGTAATTAAAACGAAAATTAAAATGAAAATTCAGATAAACATTTTTTTAGAAAGAAATTATAAGTTTTTAATTTTTTTGATTGATTTTTAAGAACAAGACAAGAAAAAGTTTAGATAGTGAATTTTATTATTGTTAATTAAAAAGAATAATTTTTATAAGAAAATAAGAACGTAGAGAAAGGTTTAAGAGGTTGAAACATTTTAGCCACAAAGTAAAACTACAATTTCTACAAAATGTACTTTTACTCTTTTGCGACTGCGCAAATAGCCAAAATTATGTTGCCAGATGTTATAAGCATTCAGGCCTATATAAGCCTACAAACATTGTAATATTTTCAGTATTAACTCACATTATTAATAAAAACCCATTTAGCAAAAACCTATATATTAATACTAAGAATGATTGTTTAAACTTATAGATTGGACTTGAATAGTATCTAGTGTTGGAGAGATAGTTAGTTGTCTCCCAGCTAGTATAAATACTGTTTGAAAAAGAGACAATAAGTGAAAACTTCCATTTAGCACTAAGAATGATTGTTTAAGCTTATAGCCTTGGATTTGAATAAGTATCTATATCTAGTGTTGGAGAGATAGTTAGTTGTCTCCCAGCTAGTATAAATACTGTTTGAAAAAGAGAAAATAAGTGAAAACTTCCATTTAGCACTAAGAATGATTGTTTAAGCTTATAGCCTTGGATTTGAATAAGTATCTAGTGTTTGGAGAGATAATAATTATCTCCCAGCTAGTATAAATACTGTTTGAAAANCGTTAAAGGGACTGTACGTTAAAGGGACTGTACGTTAAAGGGACTGTACGTTAAAGGGACTGTACGTTAAAGGGACTGTACGTTAAAGGGACTGTACGTTAAAGGGACTGTACGTTAAAGGGACTGTACGTTAAAGGGACTGTACGTTAAAGGGACTGTACGTTAAAGGGACTGTACGTTAAAGGGACTGTACGTTAAAGGGACTGTACGTTAAAGGGACTGTACGTTAAAGGGACTGTACGTTAAAGGGACTGTACGTTAAAGGGACTGTACGTTAAAGGGACTGTACGTTAAAGGGACTGTACGTTAAAGGGACTGTATGTTAAAGGGACTGTACGTTAAAGGGACTGTACGTTAAAGAGACTGTACGTTAAAGGAACTGCACGTTAAAAGGACTGTACTTTAAAGGGACTGTACGTTAAAAGGACTTACGTTAAAGGGACTGTACGCGTTAACTAACTAACCCGCCATATAAAGATGGCAATGTCTGATTTGCAAAGGTTTAAAAGGTTTCTCTGGTAAAGTATGAATTAGACATTATTATAATTTTTTAAAACTGATTATTTTCAGTTGTGAGTTCTCTACACTAAGTGCACATTTTTACTGGAGAAAAACTTAACTTTAATTCACTTTTAAACCTAGAAAAACTACAATATCTTCCACATTATTGATCACATAAAGGTGTTAAGGGTACCATTGTGAATCGGGCATTATGATTTTTGCATGGTAGGTCACTTGAAATTATGCTCTGCCAACCTTTAAAGTTCTTTTAAAACTTGCAAAAATGCAAAAAACTTTTTAAAAATATTTTTTGTACAACCGTGGTGGACCAGTAAACATGGAGTATCTTGCCAGAGATGTCGACCTTTTAAATTCAAGCTGTTGGAAGATTGATTAAGAACGAGAATTGTTTGTTGGCACCCAGACTCTAAACATATATAGTTCATACAGACCAGATGCAATATTTATCTGTCTGTCAGTTTTTCTTTTGCTTTTCAGTCTGTCTGTATTTTTTTATGTATGTGTATTTTTTCTCTTTATTATTAACTTTGTCTCTTGTCTAATTTTAGGTCGATTCGGGTAGTATTTTCCATTTATGTCAAAATTTAGTAAGTTTAAAGTAAGATTTAAATCTTAAATGTTTACAATCATAACTCTTCTTTTTGAAGAACTATTGAAAAGAACCATAATGCCTTAACTCTCATAAATTTTGTTGAGAATATATGCAGTGTAATTTGTTTATTTCTTAAAAACCATCGTTAGTAGGGGCGGAAACCAGAAACCTTTAAAAGGTCTAAATGAAAATTACGCAAGATTACGCAGTAACTGATGTGCTGTAATGGTCTAAATTGGTCACAGACTCGCGTAATTAGCCCCAGGACCGTGAATATAAAAACTTATATCTCTGTATGAAAAGAACACGAGTTTAAAAAGTCCTGTGAAAAATGAGAATAGATTTAGATGTAATTGTATAATAGATGTAATTGTATAACTGTTTTGGATAAAAAGTGTTAAAAATGCTTCAATTCAAGCGAATCTAAGAGATAAAAAGAGGAGAAGAATTATTGCAACATAGCTTTATTCATAGTGTAGATGTATATATTTAAAGGAACTGTCAGCCTAATTTTAAATTACCCTCGGTTCAGAGCGTCACATGTCAATTCACAACGATACCCTTTATTCCTTTATCGATTAGCCTTATTTCGGTCTTAGAAATATATTTAAATTCTTCATTGCCTCTGCTGCACAAAATGTGAAATTAGAAATAAATGTTGACATGAACTTACGTCAATAGGTCCTTTAATATCTGCGGTTGTCATGCATGCATCAGATTAGATAATATATTAACAGATTTTTGGTTAATTTCCGCTTTGCAGGATTACATAATACATATACAAAGTACGGCTTGAAATTGCAAACTATTATCGACAGTTTTGCAATCAAAAGTATGCAAAGAATTCTGCAAAAATAAATCTATTATAATGGAGACAATTACATCAAGATTAAGACTTAAAGAGTTTTTAGTATAAAGTATATTAATGAAGTTAATTTGAAATGAATGTCCAGCGTCTTTAAATTGCAAACAAAAAATTGCGCAAAAACTTTGCATTGTACATATAAAATTCTATGTAATAAGAGTTTTGAAATTCATAACGTAAGTTTTGCAATACACGGGCAGCTGGAGTACATATGAATTTCCGAGCCGGGTCAACCTTTCCGGTTCCAGTTTGTACTGTACCTAGCTCTATGGACAGGACTAGCCGGTGCAACAAGGTTGACGTGGTCAGACTTTATGCTTCATATAGGTTGAATTTACTTTTACTAAAGGGGCAGAGGTGCGTGAATAATAATGTGAAATGTTTTAACGAATTTAAACACCTAAAATGGGAATAATATCGGTTGCTTGTATTAAGCGCCTTTTTGCATTTGAAAAAATTTAACGAATGAATTTTCTAATGGCGCTATTTCTTTGCAATCTGATGGTATAAACCGATGATTTTTTTTGGACACATACAGACAAACAAACAGACAAGATATGCATTATACAGATATATAAAAGTTTCTAATTAGAAATATTTTTTATCCCTTTTATTTCTTAAAATTTCTTTTTTATTTCAAATATTTTTTTTAGACAAAGACGACCTGCGGAACCTACAGCAATCGATAGAGCTGGTTCTGGTGACGTAAGATACGTGTCATTCTACAGCGGGGGCCGGGGAGGTAAAGCCTGGGGGTATAGTTACAATCTAGGCTAACCGTACCGTACATAACCAGTACAGTACACGCAGCGTATTTATGTGAATTATAGCTGTGTATTTCTGTAACTTTACAATGTACATGGTTTCAGCTATGCAACTTGAAATACACTTGCGGAAGTGTACTGCAAAAACGTGAAGTAACAAAATATTTTGTAAGAAACAATTGGTCATTATGGAGATATGCTTGATAGCAGCACATCGGCTTTGTTAATTTATTAAAACAATGGGATGAAAATGTACTCATCTGACAGCTTGACTTCGAATAATCTAGAAATAGTTATCATTGATAAAAACTATCAATAATTATCATGCAAGTTTATTTTCTTTGGTTTATTTTCTTGTTTTATTATACCAGCTGTAAATACTTAAAAGCTTGTTAAAGCTGAAAGTTTAAAAGATTGTGATCGTTATTTAAAGCAAATTATACAGCTAATTATGCCAGCATGCCCTTTATACCCATTGACATTTCAATTTAAGTAATTACAACAGTATGAAAAGTATTTCTTTTACTACAACTAGTTGTATAACCAAATAGATTCTAATACAATAGATGGCAACGAAGAATTTTTACACTCTTAGTACAGCTGTATTCTGACGTCACAAGTGTCAATTCAGTTTTCTGTGTCCGACAAAATTATTAATAATAGTGATAATTTTAGTGCTTATCTTACAGTAAAATAAGTGCAATTCTATGGTTTCTTTATTTTCTATTTTTACACATTTTTTTTTATTTAATCTTGAAAAACAAGTCAACTAATTTGAGAAAATTTCGTTTTCCTTGTTATATATTGACGTTGTTTATAATTAGTCCATTTCTCTGTTGCCACCTATTGTACTTGACAATATTTGTGTGTAACATCTGTAATACATATGAACTGAAAATTTTAGCTTTAATGTTATCGTAAATACGTTATATTGTAAATATTTGTTCTGTGACAAAATTAAATAAAAAGATTTAGATGTACTTAAAAATGTAGATGTACTCTTACTAAGATATAATCGTACTCTTATTAAGATGCAGATGTACTCGTGCAAAGATGTAGATGTACTCTTACAAAGATATAGATGTTCTCTTTCTAAGATGTAGATATACTCTTATAAAGATATATGTTCTCTTTCTAAAATGTAGATATACTCTTACAAAGATATATGTTCTCTTTCTAAGATGTAGGTATACTCTTACAAAGATATATATGTTCTCTTTCTAAGATGTAGATATACTCTTACAAAGATATATATGTTCTCTTTCTAAGATGTAGGTATACTCTTACAAAGATATATATGTTCTCTTTCTAAGATGTAGATGTACTCTTACAAAGATATATATTTTCTCTTTCTAAGATGTAGGTATACTCTTACAAAGATATAGATGTTCTCTTTCTAAGATGTAGATATACTCTTACAAAGATATAGATGATCTCAAAAGATGAATTTGAAGATGAGAACATGAGTATAAAGATTACTTAATTAATTAGATGAACTCAAACAAAAATGAAAATGTACTTGTATAAAGATATAGGTGTACTCTTACAAATATGTATGTACTCGTATGAACATAAATACGGAGATTTACTCGTGAAAAAATGCAGAAAACTACTAAAATTATGTAGATGATGATGTTCTCTTATAAAGATTTAGCTATGTACTCGATTAAAGATGAATTCATACAAAAATTTAGATGTACTCGTATAAAAATGAAGGTGTACGCATACAATTATATAGCTGTATTCGCACAATGATGTACAATGCACAATGATGTACTCATAACAAGATGATAAATATAGATGTACATGTACTGTAGAAAGATGCAGATTTTACTCGTACAATAATGAATATGTATTCATACAATGATGTAGATGTACTTATATAAAGATGTAGATTTACTCTTACAATGATGTAGTTGTACTCATATGTAAAGGTATATCAATCACAAAAAAGGCATATATGTACTAGTACACAGATGTAGAATATAGATATATGTCAAAAAAAACGTCCAGATGTACTCATACAAATATGTAAGAATGAGAGATATATCGTAGATTTGTGTATTAAAAAAGATCAAGCCTGTCAATTTCCTAAACAAATAGGAATAGAGGACTTTTCTGTTCATAGTATACAATTCCTTTTCTGTCCATGGTATACAATCCCTTTTCTGTTCAAGGTATACAATCCCTTTTCTGTTCATGGTATACAATTCCTTTTCTGTTCATGGTATACAATCCCTTTTCTGTTCATGGTATACAATTCCTTTTCTGTTCATGGTATACAATCCCTTTTCTGTTCATGGTATACAATCCCTTTTCTGTTCATGGTATACAATTCCTTTTCTGTTCATGGTATACAATCCCTTTTCTGTTCATGATATACAATCCCTTTTCTGTTCATGGTATACAATCCCTTTTCTGTTCATGGTATACAATCCCTTTTCTGTTCATGGTATACAATCCCTTTTCTGTTCATGGTATACAACCCCTTTTCTGCTCATGGTATACAATCCCTTTTCTGATCATGGCATACAATCCCTTTTCTGTTCATGGTATACAATCCCTTTTTTTCATGGCATACAATCCCTTTTCTGTTCATGGCATACAATCCCTTTTCTGTTCATGGTATACAATCCCTTTTTTGTATCTTGAGATTACTGCATAGTTTAACAAGTGATAACAAATATTTTTCTAAATCATCCTGACTTGACAATATATGCATAATTAGAATGATTGCCTCAGGCCGACAAGTGCATGGTTTAGTCAAGTATATGTAAACCTGATACAAAACTTGATGTTGCATAAGCTGGTATTTATAGATAATTATTATTTATAGGATATATTTAAAGCATAAACCCTCAAATATATTATTTATAGGATATATTTAAACCATAAACCCTCAAATATATTATTTATAGGATATATTTAAAGCATAAACCCTCAAATATATTATTTATAGGATATATTTAAAGCATAAACCCTCAAATATATTATTTATAGGATATATTTAAAGAATAAACCCTCAGATATATTATATATAGGATATAATTAAAGCATAAAACCTCAAATATATTATATATAGGATATATTTAAAGCATAAACCCTCAAATATATTATTTATAGGATATATTTAAAGAATAAACCCTCAAATATATTATATATAGGATATATTTAAAGAATAAACCCTCAAATATGTTATATATAGGATATATTTAAAGCATTAACCCTCAAATGAATGGAAAAATTTAAGTCCATTGCACAAGCACTATAGTTCAGCCAGCCAAATGCTGTTGCATAAAACGCATTGGGTCAACCACAAAGGATGAGACTACCGTGAAAATTGTTTATGTACTGGAAAGAATTTTCAAGGCCTCTTGTCAAATTCAACATTCGCAGCTTCAAATGAGTTAGGTCTATATTTGTAGCTTCTCCTTGTGGTTGTAGGTAGCCCTGCAGCCTTGCAAGCATAAAAACTCCATACAATGCAGATAGATTTGAGAAAGATACAAATTCTACAGATATTGTTCAGATAATTCGGAACAAAAACCTTGAAATTAAACCAAGAACGGAAAAAATCTGAAGCTACAAATTGTAACAAACAAAAATTCGTTCTGGAAAATCTACAAAACTTTAATATTTATGTTACAAAGCGTAAATGCATGTATAAAATGAAGAATATGCAAAACTGTGTTTAAAGCGCCCTACTAAGTATTCATACAGTTTAACCCACAGCTTCGGAGGCATCGAAAGAATTTTTGAATTGTCATCTTGACAATTTTTCAATGGCTTTTATACTATTATATATAGTAATATAGTAATTGTAAAAATAAATAAATAAATAAGCATGAAAATATGAGGGAATAGTTGAAAGAGCTCCAAATAATAATTCAATTAAAAAATTAAATATCTGCATCATTTCATTATCATGTAGATTCAGAAAACGGCATTTTATAAATTATTTCGATGTCTCCTAAGTTTTGGGTGAAACTGTCCCATATTTGCCTTGCCCTTGTTTCTTCATAAAAAAAAAACATTGAAAGTGCTTGCAAAAAATAAATATACAAGAAGATTGTTTATTTTCGTTCGTCTAAGAATGTACCTATGAAAACAGCAAAACCTTCACAAAAAACAGTTGTTACTGATATTGCAAGGAGAAACATTTGCGAATTATTACTGGAAAAAGGGGCGCTAGGCTAGCCTAGTATATTTTAAAAAATCAAGAGAAAACCAAGGGCGTATATTCTTGACAGGATGAATCAAATTAGTATTTTGGCAGCTTCCTCTTATATATTCGAGAACTGACGTCTTTATTCTAATTTTTGAACAGAATCTTTAACATCTTAAACTCTACAAATCAGAAAAAAATTATTATTTTTCACGATTTTGTTTTAAAAATGCTAAATAGTTTCTATGTAATGAAAATAAATCTGAATAACATTAACAACATTATCGAGAAAACCGTGTTTTTAGCTTTTAAGCCATATTCATGAACACCCCATGCACCCCCACACCGGACTAACCAGAGTGAGTAGCATTCGGTTTCTTCTATTTAAAATCAAACGTGCAGTTTTGTTCAATAATTGAACAATCTTTTACCTTACGGATTTGTTTATTTTATACCTTTTCCTTCAAAATGAATATGCCGACAAAAAAGTATTTGAGAAAAAAGGCTAAAAAATTATTTCTAATGGGTCAAATTGTGATCGAAAGCCACAGCTTTCTGGAATATTGACATAATCGTTAAATCCACGTGCCCCGTATATATGTTCCAGAACACCCTGTTTATATATGATCCTGAACACCCTGTTTATTTATAAATTCCTGAAAACTATGTAAATATGCTCCTGATTACCCTGTATATAACTATATGTTCCTGAAAACCCTGTATATATGTTCCTGAACAGTATATAACTATATGTTCCTAAATACCCTGTATATAACTATATGTTCCTAAATACCCTGTATATATGTTCCTGAACAGTATATATATGTTCCTGAGCACCCTGTATATGTGTGTATACCCACTGCCTGGAAGCTCTGCTGACCTTGAACACCTGTGAAGAAGATGTATTCAAGTATTGAACTATAAAACTAGGCTTTGCTTTAAACTACAAAGAATGAACCATAATAGAGCCACCATTTGACGAAAACGATTCGAGAAAATAGTTACGGAGAAAGAAACAAGTTTACAGTTGCAGGGAACCATTAATGTAACGAAATAGACAATATATATTCGTCTCTGAAGTCTCATCTTTTGTGGGTAACCCTGTAAATTTGTCGATCTACGACACTTTTTAAATAGTTGTTTTAATTTAAGAATTTGTCGACCATTGATTCATTAATTCATAATTCATTGATTCATTAATTCATAATTCATTGATTCATTAATTCATAATTCATTGATTCATTAATTCATAATTCATTGATTCATTAATTCATAATTCACTGGTACCCTAATTCATAATTCATTGAGTCATTAATTCATAATTCCTTGATTCTTTAATTCTTCATTCATTGATTCATTAATTCATTGATTCATTAATTCATTGATTCATTAATTCATTGATTCATTAATTCATTGATTCATTAATTCATTGATTCATTAATTCATTGATTCATTAATTCATTGATTCATTAATTCATTGATTCATTAATTCATTGATTCATTAATTCATTGATTCATTAATTCATTGATTCATTAATTCATTGATTCATTAATTCATTGATTCATTAATTCATTGATTCATTAATTCATTGATTCATTAATTCATTGATTCATTAATTCATTGATTCATTAATTCATTGATTCATTAATTCATTGATTCATTAATTCATTGATTCATTAATTCATTGATTCATTAATTCATTGATTCATTAATTCATTGATTCATTAATTCATTGATTCATTAATTCATTGATTCATTAATTCATTGATTCATTAATTCATTGATTCATTAATTCATTGATTCATTAATTCATTGATTCATTAATTCATTGATTCATTAATTCATTGATTCATTAATTCATTGATTCATTAATTCATTGATTCATTAATTCATTGATTCATTAATTCATTGATTCATTAATTCATTGATTCATTAATTCATTGATTCATTAATTCATTGATTCATTAATTCATTGATTCATTAATTCACTGATACATAAATTCATTGATTCATTAATTGAATCTTTGAATCATAATTTAATGATTCAAAATTTGATCATGGTTCATCTTCTACTCATCTTTGGGAACATGCTTTTTATCAAAAATTTCCTAATTAGCTTTTGATAAAAGTGCAAACAGATATATTTGTTATGGTGCAAACAGATATATTTGTTATGGTGCAAACAGATATATTTGTTATGATGCAAACAGATATATTTGTTATGGTGCAAACAGATATATTTGTTATGGTGCAAACAATTACATGAGTTAATTTAAACTTACAAATGTATGCACACATCTTGCAAATCAATGCATTTTACCGCACCTTAGGAAACCTACGCGGTCTTCATAACAAAACTTAAAACGACAGTCTCATATTTTAATCCTTTTTTAGGGGAGGGGGGGTCATTTCTCAACCTTTTAATGTATTATAGAATTATATAGCTTGGGGACCAAGGTTTTCCAGCAAAATATTGCTTAAAGTCAATTCTCTCAAATGAGAATTTTAGAACCCTGTTTCTTATAAAATTTGTGGTAAGTCGGTCAATGGGTTCGGAAAAATAACATTAGACCTCAAATCTCTAATTTTCCCCTCCACTAGTGTAGTCTCATGTTGCCCCCCTCCCCCATCCAGAGGGTTGCGAGAAGACTTGTCCCCACGTATTCATGATGCATATAGCTATGACTGTTCATCAAGTAAGAGAGAGTTAGTTCGAGAATTAGTTGAAAATATTAAAAATTTGAAAAAAATGGCGCTCGGCAGTGAAAATGTTAAACTACTTTTTAGGGTGAAAAACATCCTCTTCCAGATGGGGGCCAACCCATGGTTTATCTATCCCACCTGGTTTTAACCTTCGCCTAATAATTCTATAATGTTCTAGGGTGTTACTGGCACTGCATGTAGATGTGAAATGTGAATGATGGTTGTTTCAAGTTAGACAGATTTTTTGGATTGCAATCTCTATGAACATCATGAACATATAGGTTATGAACTTAATTTAATACCAGTACCATCATATTTCCAACTGAAGATCGGGTCAAAGAGAAACATATAGTTTTATATATCTTTAAGTAACGATTTTAGTTTATGTTGCTGCTCTTAGGCCTCCATTTTTACTTTGTGGGTTATAATACCAAGATATTGCGGATTTTTATGTTTTCATTGATGAACTTCTAAGAAAAAATTAGAATTGAAATTTATTAAAGAGTCCATTAACTTTTCCTGGGGCCAAGTGAGTTGCTGAAAACTAATTGGGTCTGATCGGTTCAGCCGTATATATTGGATACAAAAATANATAATAATAATAATAATAATAATAATAATAATAATAATAATAATAATAATAATAATAATAATAATAATAATAATAAAAATAATAATTAAATACAGAATTTAGTTTCCAGTACCATCTTGTAGATTTAATAGTTTTGGAGCTTATGCACGTTCATAAACTTTCTGTACGAGAACTTAAATCTGTGCGTGCACAAATTTCTGCGCGTGAACTGCTTTATGGTTTCACACTTTCGTGTGTGCTATTGTATCAAGGTGTATTGAAACATCTTTGCAAGTTTAGAATACGAGGATTGAAATTGAGTAATATATGAGGAACCAATTCATTTTTAAAGGATAAATAGTACAAATATTCCAAGATTTCACAGATAAGTTTAAACGGTACCCTCTGATCCGAGTGTTTTTAACCTAAGGATTTTCCCGACCTAAAAATGTATTATATCGCAGATAAAGTTTGATAAGGATAAATATTCGGGGGGACGACTTAAATCGGTAAAAATGCTCTATAAATAGTTCGCATAATCTTTAGGATTGAACAGAATTTGCATAGTCCGTTTTCTTGCATTCAGGGTAGGCTTAAACTGGTGTATATTTAATGAACCATCATAATATTCTATTGAATGAAGAAACCAAAGTTCAAGCTTCAAATCGTCATATTTTTACATTTTTAGGTCGTCTTTACAGTCTCATCCTTTGTGCAAGGGTCCAGCTCCAAGTTTTACTTATATTCATTCAAATATATAGTTTAAAATTAAAGATAAAAAATAAGATGGAGTGAGCGTTGGCATTATATTTACTAACAATTTATGTCATCAAAACAGAAATCTTTCAAAGGTGACTAGTTAAGAAGAGAAATAAAATGGCAAAGATCAAAAGAAGAATCCATGTTCTTAATAAGAGTCATAACAGCTTCCTTCAAGGTGGTGGAATGGTTTGCTAAAAATTATCTTCCAAAAGATTTGGCAATAGTTAGCCTGAGATTTCCAGAAGAAAGAGTAATGAATAGTCTAGCAATTCAGACCCCTAAACTACCACATCATGAGTTGGAAAACAGATCTTAAAATCAGTTGAGGTGTCTGAGAAAGGTGCTTTAGATAGTTTTATTAGAAATCATATCGGAGATAATCCTGAACATGATGTTTGGAAGTACTTGCCTCAGCTTCTAAAATCATCCAGAACATTGATCATTCATAGCTATGATCGCAAAATATTTCGTTTATTCTTAAATGGTAAAGCTTTTCAATCAGATGAGAAAGAAATGGATTTTATTGTTCTATTCGGAGCATACGAAATCTATGTCAACATAGAAGTTAAAGCAGAAGAGTATAAGAAAAAAACCTGGATTAAACAGGTGGAAAAAGGGCAGAAGTTCTATCAGGAAGTACTATCTGCCATGGCGAAGGAAGGCTACAAAGACTGGGAATATATTCCAGTGGATGCCTTTCTAAACTTAATCAATAAATCACAGGCGAACTAAATTTGTATTAAATCATGTAAGCAAGTAAGTAAGTAAGCAAAGATCAGTTATACGTTATAATTAAACATTAGACTAACTAAATCTTGTTTACCTTTGCAAAATTCAATGTGAAGAAATTACCTCCATCAGTGCGCAATCTAATTGACAAGTTAACATTTATAATACAGACAGTTTTTAACATTAAACCACGATACTACATCAAATTGTAGAAATATGTTTTAAAAATGAAGTGTATCAGAACATTATAAAACTCTTTTCTTGACATTTAGTTATATTTTCAAAGGGGGGGAAGCGGGCACTTGGACACTTTGTGACGCCAAATTTTGTACAGGCCGCGTTTGGTCCTAAAAGTTGAGATAGAAGGCTGAACTTTTGTTTGCAATCTCTAATTGTGGCAATTGTGATCATGAAGGAAATTTGAGATCGGAGATCATTGACCTCCATGAATTCGGAAAATTTGGGAAAATACCACTTTTTCCCTCTAATTCAATCATTTTAAGTTAATTAGACATGTTTTCATATTTTTTGCTACCCTATAAATCATGAGCTGATTTGACACATATATCTGACCTTAAGTTTCACCTCCCTTCAAAAATGACCTCTAAAAAGGTGAAAATATTAAATCAACGTAAATAGGTCATGTTAGATATCAAATCATAGGTTTTATGGAGTTCCGATTCCATTCTGAGACCTTTTTTGACCTCAGATGATCCTCGAGGTCCAAAATATCAATGACCTCCCCGAGGTCAAAATATGATATTAATGGAAATAAGTTCTTAATTTTTTCTTATCCATCTCTATGCAAGTAACCCAAATAAAATTATGACTGACCATTTCAACTTGTTCCAAATTAAACATTTTTAAAAACAATAAAACTTTTTAATAAATATATTTGTAAAAAATGAATTTCTGTAACATAGGTTTAAATGTGTAAGATTATAAGGCACACTGTTACTATTTCAATTATCACACTTTAAAATGTTAAATGCTTATTTATCAGAACATAATTATTTGCTTAAAATGCAAAAACTTTATCACTTCAAATCTTAAAAAAAGAAGTAAAATTATTGAGCAAACATTACTTTGTGCACAGAAAAGAAAATAAAGATTATAAATATTAATTTATCAAGCTATCTTTTTATATCCATTAGTTATATCTGTACGACTATGTTAATTATAGACATATAGACATGTCAATATATATATATATATAAATTTTCGACCGAAGATTGCTAGCAAAGCATGAAACATAATGTACAGTCGATTTATTTGTCAAAAAAAATGTGAAGTTGAAAATGGAAAAATATAATCGATTAAACAGAGATTACAACTTCATATATAGATACATATATAACATTGACATATTGAAGTTAAGCAAATTATGCATCATGCATTCTGAATCCAAGTACTTCTAACTTAATGCATCATGCATGCTGGAAGCAAGTACTTCATGCATCCCTTCTGGAGTAGTCAGAAGAGAATTAAACATCTTTTGTAATTCTTCTTCTTTCATTTTTTCCTCCCAAGATAGATACGGGGCCTAGAACAGGATTAAATATGAAAAGGGCCTAGAACTAATTTAGATAATATTTTATTTTTCTCAGGACTCCAGGTGGAGTATATAAGAGATTATCTGATTATTGTCATAACATCTATAGATATACTTTTATCAAAATAATACCAGATACTATTCAAATCAATATTTACGAATATCTAGCATATCAAATAAAAAATGAAGGACTTTTTATTTGATCGATTTTTTCCGTTATTTTTTCTTCTTTTTTTACAATATTTTGGCTCGTTTTTGTCCTAATATCATTTAATAGAAAAAGAATCATGACAACACTTCATTCAGCAGAAACTAGACCAGTGTCCGAATTTAATGAATTTAAGCCACGTCTCAATTCACCCAAAAACCTGTTTTAATTGATTAATTAATCTTGAAAAATTAAATACAAATTTATGTGGAACCAACCATATTTGAGCCGCGGCTGAAATTTAAACCGTGGATCAAATTCTTTAAATTCGGCCTCAGATTAGATTTTTTACGTAATTATAATATATATATTTAAAAGTTGGCGCAGTACAAAAAGTAGTTTGAACTGAGATGGAATTTAAAGAATTTGAGCCGCGGTTTAAATCTGCCAAAAACCGGTTTATATTAAGCGCTGGCTTAAATCTTGAAAAATTTGATACAATTTTAAGTGGAACCAACCATATTTAAGCCGCGGCTTAAATTTAAATTCTTTAAATTCGGCCACAGGGCCAAGAACAGAAATAATATAGCATGGGCCAAGATGATAAAAAATAAGAAAGCATGAATTTGAAGAAGGGAAAGTCAAGACAAAATAAGAAGTTCCTGGGTTTACCTTAATGGGAGGAGGAGCAGGTGAGTTCCCATATATACCACCGGAGTAAAAAGGTCTGGAAAAATCAGTCGAAATTAATAAAAACTACAAGTCCTAATATGCAATTTGCTTTATAATCATACATATAATGGTATTTTGTCAAATCAGTTAAATAACCATCAAATAATTAAATGTAGGGACTTCTTTGAGCTCAAATAAACAGAAAGAAGGTTCAAAAAAAGAAGACGTTTTGTAAATTTACTAAATAATTATCTTATCCTTACTATTCTTGTTACCAAATTGGGATTTACTAACCTAAGATGGTAGAACATATATTCTAATTGGTAAATCTTGGATGAGGATAGGATTCCGTGAAATGAGATCGCATGGTTGGAGCAACACTGGGGACCATCAGGGGATAGGTAGAGAGAATCCTTCCAATACCTGATAAATCAAACAATTATTCAATCAAAAAATTAACCAATAAACCAATCAATTAATCAACCGTTCTACCAATTTAATCATTCAATCATTGTTTAAAAAAAACATTTTTAAAGAACAAATACGATGACTAGAAGTAGAAGCAAATCAGAATTTGTCTGTATCAACTGTACCCTATTTATAAGATCAAAAATTCAAAAATAATAAATTGTTAAAACAAAGTACATGTACGTCTTCTCTATTTGTATACTTTGCTTGTCGTTGTTTGTCTGTCTGTTTGTTTGTCCGTTTGTATCCAATGAACGATAGAACGGCTGAATCAATGGGGCCCAGATTTTGTGTGGAACCTCACATGACTCCAGGGAAGGTTAAAAGATCCTCAAAATTTTTAGTAAGTTGTCTCCAAACATTTAGGATATTTGTAAAATTTTGAAAATTAACGAAAAAATATTACTTAATCTGTGAACTGTTTTGTTTTATACTGTACAGAGAAGATGCTTACAGATAGAGCCACAATTAAAAGTTTAAATAGAAGATGGGCGCGAAGCGTTTTAAAAGCCTAGAATTATAAATGGTAAATGGCGAGATATCTATCTATCCTCATCTAATATTTTTTTATTTTCTTATTAATTTTGCATGGTATGCTATCATCATCGCTGCAGAAACCGAAGACAGGGGAAATAAATCTAAAACCAATCAATCAACCAATCTACCGATCAATCAATCATTCAAAATATTAGTTACTCACACAATCTCACTATATGCTTAAAGAATTGTTATTAATCCTTAAATTTGAAATGGTAACATGAGTGAAAACTTAGGTGAAGCATATTTGTGGTAAAACATATCATTATAAAATAATGCTAAAATATTCAATAAAAAATCAGCATTTAAACAGTTACTTAGGGGCACATAATTTCATCAGCATTCCATCAATCAAAGTAAATTTCACTTTCATCAGTCGATGTTAAAACATGTTTCAATAATACAACTAAATTTTACCTTTCAAATAGAGAAACTCCGCCTGGGAAAAGAAGTTTTTTGAAAGAGAATCCATTAAAGCGACCTTTTCCTTGCTCATCCCTTGAAAAAAAGTCTAGTAATATTCATCAAATTTTAAACATGTTAACATTAATTAGGTTGGGATATTACCCAAAACAGCAAAATCTAATCCACACCTAATTGCTAAAATACGTACATATGTAAACAATATAAAAATACGTACATATGTAAACAATATAAAAATACGTACATATGTAAACAATATAAAAATACGTACAAATGTAAACAATATAAAAATAGTTGTACAATTTTGCATGTAACTTCGATGTGTATTTTTAGCAATAAAATATGTATTATCTCATTTTATCTTGAATAAAATGTGTCATTTACTTTGAGAAATATTCAATTCAAGAGTTCAATGATGAACCTAAGGGCGCAGATGCATTCTAGGAAGCATAAAACCTGGTAATTTTCTCACTTGTTATAACTGTAGGAATTCAGTATTTACTTTTAAAGGGAGTGACCGGAAATATATGGTAGTCGAACTGAGAATGTAGTATTGTGGAGACATTTTTAGGATTCATTTGAGACATATAAAACGTCTTAATGATGTATAATTACTTAGTTTAATTACTAATTAGTTTAATGTAGAATTTTTGTTACAATTTTTGTCGTCGTTATTTAATAATTTTTTAAAACTCGGTTCTCAAAACGTAACCACCCCAATTGATGATTTTGAAAGTCGACTTTGCGCTCTAACTCATTAATAATACATAATTAAAACGTGTTATATGTCTCAAATAATCCTAAACAATTTCTCTATAATACTACATTCTCAGTTAATTTACAATACATTGCCGGTTACTCCCTTTAAGAAATGTGAAATGTTAAAAAAACTCATTAAAATTGAATAAAGACCCACTCAAACTTACCTCATCATTATTATTTCGGGTAATGAGGCAAATAAAGTGTTTAAGAGAAAAAAGGTGGTAAACCTGGTGTCGACTGGAAATATTCCTAGATCATGAAGATGTTTTCCTAAATACCAGTCTCCATTCTTCCAGTATTTACCCCCAGCTTCACACAGCTCCTAAATATAAAGACTTTTAAATTGAAATGGATATAGATATATAGATAGTAAGGATGGATAAGTACTGAAACGGTTGAGTTGGGCGGATACCCGAGTATTAAAACGGTTGAGTAAGGTGGATATCTAATTACTGAAACTGAAACGGTTGAGTAAGGCGGATACTTGAGTATTGAGGAGTAATGCAGATAACTAATTATTTAAAAGGTTGAGTTGGGCGGTTACCTAGCATTAAAACGGTTGAGTAAGGTGGATATCTAAGCACTAATACGGTTAAGTAAGGCGGATACCTAATTACTGAAACTGAAACGGTTGAGTAAGGGGGATACCTAAGTACTGAAAGGGTTACGAAAGGCGGATACATAAGCACTGAACAGGTTGATTAAGGCGGTTACCTGAGTACTAAAAGGGTTCAGAAAGGCGGATATAAAGCAAACAGGTTGGATAAGGCGGATACCTGAGTACTGAAACGGTTGAGTAAGGCGGATACAGCTCCTCTTGATAAAGCATACCCAGCATCTCCCCAATTGTAGACAACATTCCAAAACCTTAAAAAATAAATAATAAGTTCATCATCTTTTACATGTATAACAATTCCCACAAAAAATCATTTATTTTGGCAGTCTTTGCCCCTTTCCCCGCTAGGTAAATTAAAGATTATGACCCAATTGTTTATGATATTTGGACAAGAGCCCAACGACCCCCTTCATATTTACAACAATCCTGTTATCTCGTCACTAAATACATTTAGAAATAAACTTTTCAAGTTAGACCATATTAGGTTAGGCAGTGGACCGAGCGCTGCGACCAAAAGATCAATCACTCGTTCATTTACAAGGTTTAATAGTTTTTTGAACATTTGCCATAGAAGAGGGCAATTTGCCTTGATATCTCTGTAAGCTAAATATTATAGATAATTGATCTAATGTTTAACTCACTTGTTTAATGTGTGTAGATATGTTGGATACCTGATAGCGTGCCCTAGATAGTGCTCACCAGTACTATTCAATGCCGCGGCAAAATACCTTCAACAAACCAAACAATTTAACACTTCCTTCACCGACATAAAAAGGGAGGTTTAACTTTCAAAGCTGTTAACTCTTGTAAGATAAGATCTGACCCCCCCCCCTCCCCCCATCTTGTGGAAATAGATATCAATGCATTATCTTAATCTTTTGTTTAGTTTAATCTTAATAAATTATCCCGCATGGTAACCGTACCCAGTCAGTGGTTGAAGGGATTTTTGATCATGAATGATGAGGAATAACTAAAATGTAGAATATGGAAAAGCATAGTTTTTTTATAAATCTTTAAAATAAAAGTGCACACAGTGGATATTAAGATCAAGCTCAACAAAAGACGAAAGTTCCCTGCTTGTGATTGGGAAGCTAACCAGAAAAATAAAGGAAAACATGTTATTTAGAATTACCCTTGGGAAAAATTTGATTTCAGCAAGTGAATTATTTATTCCCTCTTATTGAGTTAGTTTATTCCCTTTAATTGGTAAGTTTATTCCCTTTAATTGAAAGGTTTATTCCCTCTAATTGGCAAATTTATTCCCTTTGATTGGTAAGTTTATTCCCTTTGATTGGTAAGTTTATTCCCTTTGATTGTAAGTTTATTCCATCTTATTGGTAAGTTTATTCCCTCTAATTGGTAAGTTTATTCCCTCTTATTGAGTTAGTTTATTCCATTTCGCTGGTAAGTTTATTCCATTTAATTGGTAAGTTTATTCCCTTTGATTGGTAAGTTTATTCCCACTAATATGGTAAGTTTATTTCCTCTAATTCATAATTATTACCGGATTTTCCCCTTTCAAAATGTTTTAATTTCCTCCAATTAAGAGCTATGAAAAATATTTGAAAACATTTATATTTGGGGTGAGGGTGTAAAAATTATATTACTTATAAATAACTGATCATTTCTTTTATCAAAGTTCTTATCCCTTATCCCATGATTATAATTTTCAATAAAACGAAAATTGAAGATTGGTTTCCTAAAGTTCTCCGGTAGGACGAATGTATCCTCTGTGAAGAAGAGAACCCAGGAGTAGTTCAACTCTTCCTTCTCCAGGTCCAGTAAGGCCGAGCACAACAAACCGAAGGACGACTTCGACTAAAACAGATCAAGAACGTAATTCTTAATGCAATGCTTTATATCAGACGGCCAATAACGTAGACAAATGGAGGGTCAACTCTTTCAAATTCCCGAGGTAAAATCTTCAAATTTTAAGATAATTCGATCAGTTTAGTTAAAAAACCTAAAATTGACAAAAAATTTTAAATTTTGTTAAGATAAAATTTGTAATATTTACCGGTATTTTTCGAACAGGTATACTTGAATTTTCAACCTTAGCACTGTAAAACCTACAAAAAAAACTATACTTTAAAACGAAAATAGTGAATAACTAAAGAGAACTCGGGAATGAATCAACATATTTAAGTCCTGAAAATGTTGATTTAAAAAAAGCTTGCGAAATTTCTTTAAAATATGAAGTTGATGAAATTAAATATTTTGAGAATGAATATGAAGAAGCACAATGAATATTCTATATCAATATAATATTATTATTCTATTTTAACAAAACAAATTTAAACTACACCACTATTATAAGTAATATGTATGTTTGTTTATGTGTGAATAAATCTTTATAGTAATATAGATGAAAGAATTTAATATTTTCTTGATAATAATAATAACACTAATAATAGTCACTGTCAATCCTTCAATCTATGATTGTAGGCTTGACCTACCTTCCGTTTTAGTTCTAATGAAGTGACCCAGTTAGGAGCTAAGTTAAAATTCAGTGGTGGGAGACAAGCCTATGGCGGTCTACCTTGGACCCTTCTAGTGCTGTACACTCAGATTCCTAATGATCCTTATATTTTTTAGACTGAAAAATTATATTTAACCTGAGATAGTTACAGTGCTGACCCCAGGTATTCTTGACCGTCAGAGCAGCAGATAATTGATCAGGGAAGACGATGCAAACCACTAACATTCAATCATTTATATAAATACTTGAAATGACATTTTATAAATACTTTCGATGAGTATAGAATGTAGATAGATACATAGATACACACTACACAGGTACATAAAAAGATATTAATGGATAAATAAATAATAAAAATAAATATAAATAGATAGATAGAAAGTTTCCTGGAACTTGAGAGTAAAGAAACCCAGCTTCTGTCATAGGATTGACTGCAGCTTCGACATCAATCTCATTCTTATCCTAGAAATAAGATCTAACATCTTCAAATCAGACCTTAAAGGGACTGTAAGCGTAATTTCAAGTGACCCTCCAATCAAAGATGGCAATGCACAACTCACAACGGTACCTTTAAAGAACTTTGTCTGATTAAGTATGAATAGACACCAACGTTTATATAGGGTTATCAGAATTTAACACTTCAAACCTAGAAAACGGTATTATCTACCACATTATTGATCAGATATAGAGGGTCACTTGAAATTACGCTTACATGCCCTTTAAAGGGACTGTGCGCTCAATATACAAATACACAAAGCATTTTTATGTTTGTGCATTGATATTTCAGAAATAGTTGCTTTTGCAACAGGTTGTTAATTTGCTGACAGATAAACATCGTTCGGCGCATAGATTGTTGGGCTTGGGTCCCTTTAAGACTCAATAAAATGTTAAGTAAAGTTGTTGAATTTATGAAATGTATTAAAAATTGCATGGAAAAAATTGGTTTAAGGTAATCCAAGGTGAGAAAATTGTGAAAAATAACAAAAAAATCCACAATGTCACGAATTTTGCAGAGATAAAATAGACAGATATGAAGGGGAACCCGACATGGATGGATATGTAATTATATTGTACAATTTTACCCTATTTTGTATCTGTTTCTATGAGGATATGTATTCACACTGTACAGTCTCCAGCTGTACAGTGTACACTGAACCTAACTTATATAACTTGTATTTGTTTTATAAGGATCTGTATTTACACTGTTCAGTCCCCTGCCGTACACTGAACCTACCTAGTATCTGTTTTTATCAGGATCTGTATTTACACTGTACAGTCCCTTGCTGCACACTGTACTTACCTTGTATCTGTTTTTAATCAGGATCTGTATTTACACTGAACTGTCCCCTGCTGTACAGTGTACAATGTACCTACTTAGTATCTGTTTCTATCAGGTTCTGAATTTGTACTTTACAGTCCCCTGCTGTACACTGTACCTTCCTAGTATCTGTTTTTTTATCAGGATCTGTATTTACACTGAACTGACCCTGCTGCACACTGTACCTACTAGTACTGTGTATCTGTTTTTTATTAGGATCTGAATTTACACTGTACAATCCCCTGCTGTACACTGAACCTAACTGTTATCTGTTTTTATCAGGATCTGTATTTACACTGTACAGTCCCCTGCTGTACACTGAACCTACCTTGTATCTGTTTTTATCAGGATCTGTGTTTACAATGTACAGCCCCTGCTGTAGACTGAACCTACCTTGTATCTGTTTTTATCAGGATCTGTATTTACACTGTACAGTCCCCTGCTGTACAGCCACTTCTCGTACGCAAAATCATAACTGTACTTTGCAATGTTGAAGTCATCAGTGCTCTGGAAAAAAAAGAATTAAACTAAAAAAGGTAATATTTTAAGAGGTCAAATCAAATCAAATCAAATCAAATCAAATCAAATCAAATCAAATCAAATCAAATCAAATCAAATCAAATCAAATCAAGGGCTGTCCTATTTCAATTGTTATTATGATTAAAAAAATTTCTTAGTTATTTTTTTATTTAAAGAGTTCAAATAACAGTTAATATTTGTTGGTAAAATTTAAAGAGTAGCGAACACATTAAGAACAGAACTCATTTAAACTATTTATGAGGAAGAATTGGGGAAGGTATTATCTCTTTTGCTGCATAAAAACCGCAAGAAAACAATGAGCAATTAACAGATATTTTTGTTATTTTCCCCCAGACAAAGGGTTAAAGAGTACAGATCTGAATCGGACATGCCCTTCTTTAATTAAATTGTCCCTGGACCTCACGTGGACAGTTATCTTAATATATATCTATAGACTTTATTCACATAAACATTGATATTAATATATATCTATAGACTGTATTCGCATAAACATTGATTTTAATATATATATCTAGAGACTTTATTCCCATAAACAGTGATTTTAATATATATCTATAGACTTTATTCGAATAAACAGTTATATTAATATATATCTATAGACTTTATTTGCATAAACAGTTATTTTAATATATATCTATAGACTTTATTCGCATAAACATTGATTTTAATATATATCTATAGACTTTATTCGCATAAACATTGATTTTAATATATATCTATAGACTTTATTCGCATAAACATTGATTTCAACATATATCTATAGACTTTATTTACATTAACAGTTATTTTAATATATATATATCTATTTTAATATGTATCTATAGACTTTATTTGCATAAACGTTATTTTAATATACATCTATAGACTTTATTCGCATAACCATTGAATTTAACAAACAATCTTTGGACCTGCAGTAAAATCCCAAATTATACTTGCTTTGATTTCTCATTTTACTCATTTACTTTTACAATTTCACTCCTTCCCCTGTTTTAGAGTTTTGTTTTAGTCTTTTATTCTTTAATAGGGAAGCCTTTCTTCAGATATTAATACAATAAAGACAACTTTCGATTTAAATTTTAGATTTCTACCAAGATTTCAAACAATCGTAAAAAATCAATTTAATTTGAAACAAATCATTCACACATTACAACCTATAGTCATCGATTATTTTTCGACGCATTCGTGTTAATATTTCAAAATATGTTTTATTTGTTTTGTATCCAATGCACTTAAACGACGAAATAGTTGGCCACCAGATGTCTCTGCTCTAGATGCTTTGAATGATTACATGTGGCAGAGACACCTAGTGGAAAAAAGTGGATTGTATATAAAACAAATGAAAGATGAACTATTTACGAATGCGTCGAAAAATAATCGATGACTTTCGGTTGAAATATCTGAATGATTTGTTTGAAATTAAATTGATTATTTTACGATACGAGTAGTATATTGCAACTTTCTGAATTTGTATGGATGCTACATTCTTCAGGTCCAATTTTCTCCTTATAGACGCAACAAAAAGAAGTAAGATAAGAAGCGATCAAAAGCGATTATTTTTCGCCGTAAGCCTATACCCCCCTTTCATTTTTCGCAATACTCCATTTCAGTCTGCTAGTAGTCTCCCTTTTCATTAGTTTTCTGTGTATCATTATAGTCCTTTAAATCTGTGACAAATAGAATTTTTGTCTTTTAAATCTGCCATAAAATATAATTTATCGGCTTAATACTCACATGAAAACTTTGAAATATAACAGCTAGCAGCATCCCAAGGAGGAAGGAGATGCCGAACAGTGTTTTCTGGTCCCTGGTGATGTACATGAGGAAGGAAATGAACCTCCGTCTCAGCCGGCGCACCGGGACCATCATTCATCTCTTAGGAGTTCCGGTTTATAGTTCCAGGATCACTTCTGTATTGATTTTAGATACGTTTGTCGAAAACAGCTCAGACTTTTCGGAGATTCCTTCAAATTTCATTTTTTGTGCCTCTGTCAGTATTTGTTTCTCAACAGCTTCTTTTATAAGTTTCCTAAGATAACCATTTTCTGATCTGAAATGAGACCAACAAGTGGTTACAAACATGACAATCATCCAGAAACTGTAAATGAAATGGAAACTAGCTAAATATTGTTTGGAATGATTTAAAAGTAAAATTAATCACTAAAATGCAAGCAGATACCTAACTTTTCCTCTTGCTTAAATCAAATCAAAGAGATATATTACTTCCATCTAGAATGGACCTATTAAGTATAATAGTTCAATTTAACTATTTGTTTCAACTAACTATTTAATGGTAGAAAACAGTGTTTCGGATCCGGATCCGGTCGGATCCGTATCATTTGGTCGGATCCGTATCATTTGGTCGGATCCGGATCCGTATCAGGAAACGTTGATATGGATCCGGGTAGCGCCAAAAATTAACCAAAACCATGGAATAAATAAATCAAAATGGTTCGTAAATGTATGACGAAAATTTTTCAAAATTATCTTTAATAATTTAATGTTTACATTTATATAATAGTAATGACGACATTTTTAACTTTAGGATTACTATAGTTTATAAATTATAACCTTGCATAACATTTAATAGGGAAAATCCGATTCACAGAATCAAAAGTTACCTCGGATCCGGATCCGGATCCGTATCAGAGTCAGGATCCGGATCCATCATCACGGATGCGGATCCGCGGATCCGGATCCGAATCAAAATGATATGGATCCGAAACACTGGTAGAAAAAGAACAAAAAATTGAGGAACTCTATTTCACATTTAGGAAAAAGACCATTTATTCTGCGAAATTATTTTCCATGAATCCAATATGCAAACTGTTGTAGTTTCAAATCAATTTAAAGATGGCCTTGAATGATTCACAAGGGCACCATTTTAACCTTTATCTTATCAATAGTGTAGAAGTTATTAATTATTATCATATTTCTAGCTTGTAGAGTCTCCTTACAATTTACTAGAATTTTCTTCTGTAGCAAGAAATCCACAATAATTAGTTGAAAAAGAAAGAAAAATCAAGGATTTCTTGTTCCGACGAAGGTTTAAGGGTACTTTTATGAATCGGACATGCTATTATAGGGTCACTAGTATAGATTACGTGAACAGTCCCTTAACATATCTTGTCCTACTACTCCTCCTTTGGTTTAGTCTTGATTGCTTTGATGATGGATTTGATGGATAGTAGGATGGGTAGACCTACAGGTAGGAAATAGGGAACATAGATAGCATACTTCTGATCATCAGGGAAATAGAGAAGGGAGAGTAGAGAGGGATCAAAGAACGCAGCTTCAGCCTTCATCAATCATCATTTTTAAAACTCATGTTTTACACATTTTACTATATTCTATTTCCAAGGAAGAAAGCCAATATAAAAAATCGCGAGGATAACATAATTTTTTTTCTTCAATAGTTCATTTTTTACATAGATGTGTGATGTAAGGGTTCGTTAACATTTTTAATGTACAGAAATTAAAAAAAAACTAAAATCCAGATTTTAAAAAATAATATTCCTGCTGCAGTGAGGATTGACTAGCAGAGTGAGCCTCAGTGATTCTTCCTTCCTTTAGATAGCTCACACTCATCCTTAGCTTATTCAAACTCATCTCTACCCTTCTATACAATACATCTAGCTCATTCAAGCTTATTTATCTCATCTGTCTGTCTGTCATCTGTCTATCTGTTTATCTGTCTATCCGTTTGGCCGTCCCTCTGTCTTTCTGTCTGTCTGTCTTCCCGTCGGCCCGTCTATCTGTCTCTCTGTCTATCTGTCTGTCTACCTAGCAATATCCTCTGTAATGACAATATTAGGAATCTGATGAAGAAGTCGGGATAAGGATTCCAGGGTTCGTCGTACTTCAACTATATTTTCACCAGCCCTAGACAGTATAATTACAAAGTAATGATAACAGGGGTGTATATTTTCCCTTAAAAAATACCACCCCCCCCCCGCATATGCGCAAAATTTGTTTTAAAAGTTTCTTTTTGCTGAATGGGGGAAAAAGAATGATTTTTAGGAAAAATTAAAAACATCTTTTGAGTAAAAAGTATGGAAAAGAATAAAAATAATTCCATTCATGTCTAATTTTGCCTCCCCCCCCATTATCTAGGGGGGGGAGAGGGTAATTCTTAAAAATATAAAAAATATACGACCCTGATCAAAAATAATTATGGTAAGTTAAGTAAAAAAAGTATCAACAACTATTTCAATTTGGCATAACATTGCAAATTACCAAAAAACAAATGTATTAAGTCACGTGAGGCTTTAGAAAAAATTTAATCAATATTTACAAAAATTAAAAAAAATATTTTTCTACTGACCTATATCTAAGCTGATAATCAAGTTCCCAGTCCCGTAGACCACGAGGGTTCAAGGCCAATGATTTTCTCTCATCAACAACCTTAAAGGAACGGTATACGTGACTAGATTAGCATGTCCGATTAGAACGGTTCCCTTTCGTTTTTTCTTCTTCTAAAACTTACTTTACCAACATTAAATTTACATTTATGTTAAGATAGGAAAATTTTGTTATGTAATTTTATTAGAAAGTTTGCCACTGAGATCCGATCCATGGTTAGAACGCCGCATATCATTGCGCGGGAGCAAAAATATTGCGGATATGTGGATCCAGGACCTTAACACTTTCAAAATCAAAGATAACAAATAGATCTGTAGTAACTTGAGCTGGGAACTCTTGTAATGCGGATATCGAGATCAAGGCTTGATATCGATCTTTTGTTAATTTTTATTTGATATCTCGCATGGTAATCGTACCCAGTCAGGTATTGAGAGGTAAAGTTTTTTTTTATAAATTCTCAAATTATAAGTGCCCACAATGAGTATCGAGATCAAGCGATTGGGATTATGAGTATCCAACAAAAAAGTTCCCAACCCTGCAATGACTAACCATTGCATTGAACCATTTTCCTGCTGATCTTAGCTTTAAAACTAGATAAATATTTGACTAATAACTTAAAATGAAAAAGGAAAACTACAAAATGCAACTTTCTTTTGGTAAAAACTTAAAGATTGAATTAAATATATGTCTTAATATTTAAATATATAATTGTATATTTTAAATAATTCAACGCTGTAGTCAGTACTGCAGGAAGAGCACTAAACTTCTAAATAAGGATCCGTTTAAGATTGGGGCAATTTAATGAAAACTATCTGATGGTGTAGATGTGATTTTACGCTGTTTTAATACTTTGCACAATCTCAACTATGAATATTAATTATCTAGTTGACCTGTACTCCTAGGAGAGATCTGAGCTGTCCAACCCAGATTTTAGAAACTAACTCCATATCCAACTCTAGATATAAACAATCAAACACTCAAAAAATAAAGAGATTTTTTTTCATTCCTGACAATTTATTTTTGTTTTAATGAAATTCTTCAAAATGAAGAATAATGATAATATGAATAAGATTATTCTAGGTATAAAAAAGTTTAAAACTTTTTTTGCAAAAAAAAAATACTACAATAAATATTTTCTTCAAGTTACATACATTTTTTATCCGTTGATGTTGTCTAGGACACTGGATGAAATAATATGAAAAAAGGTTAAAAATAGTTTGAAAGTTTTCCTAAACTTGTTGGATATTTGATCATCTTGTCTCCTAAACAAATAAAATGATAACAATCAAGAGTTTATTCGTATTTCGTTTTGTTTCTTCCATTTTTAATTCCTTTGTTTTTTGTCCATTCTTCATTTTAATATATTTTTTTATCTAATTATATTTTTCAATATTATTATTCATCTCCTATAAAGTCCAAGTGTCTAGTGGCTGGTATCTAGTATCTCGTGTCTGGTATCTAGTATCTCGTGTCTGGTATCTAGTATCTCGTGTCTGGTATCTAGTATCTCGTGTCTGGTATCTAGTACCTCGTGACTGGTATCTAGTATCTCGTGTGTGGTATCTAGTATCTCTTGTGTGGTATCTAGTATCTCATGTATGGTATCTAGTATGTCGTGAAATGTATGTTGTGCAGTATCCCGTGTTTCATGCTTAGTGTCTAACGTCTGTTGTCTGATGTGTCTAATATCTAGTGTGTCTACTGTCTAGTGTCTAGTATCTAGTTTGTCTGGTGTCTAGTGTCTGGTGTTTACCTGGTAGATTATAGTTATATATATAAACTCCTCCCCAGCTTGGGATCAGAAATGAATTATTCTGAATTCAAAATAGGTTTTTCCAATTCATAACTTTAAAGGAAATATTTACGAGAAGTTGTTTTGTTAAAGCAATAAATTCATTCATGAAGTTCTTTCATGATGTAGCACTTTCCAAACAGATAAAAGTACATATTTGTTATTAAATATGTTAAACAAGATGAATTTCACAAAAAAGCTAAAAACAAGATAATAACAATTTCCCAACAGTATTCTCTATTTATTTTTACCAAATTTAGTTCTTGCCCAGTTATTACTGATAAAAAAATATCTATTTGTATATATAGTGACAATTATTTATAAATATGAAGAAAAATGTTTTTTCCTTGGAACCTCGAACAGTCAGTGGGGTTCTAAACATCCGTATATATATATATAAATATAGAATTCATAAGAGCCTATAAAGATATAATTCTTAAAAACGCTTTTTATAAATTTGGAGAAAAAGAGAAGCTTGTAAAAGTTTTACAGGAGGAAGAGAAGGAATTGGGATAGAGAAGGACTTAGGAGTTAAAGGAATAGAGGGGAAAGAAAGGGTGGTGGGGTGGGAAATGGAAAGAGAAAGAGAGGAGAAAAGATTGATAGGAATAACGGAGAAAGAAGGAGCCGTTGGTGGTTTGGAAGATGGTAAGAGAAAGAGAGGAGAACATATTTAAAGGAATAAAGGGGAAAGTAATGGTGGGGTAGAAATAGATGAAGTAATCTTTTGTGGATAACCTTATTTAAGCTAAGATTTACTACAGGGAAAAGAGTATAAATATATTTAAGCAGGATTCCTATGAACAGTAGGTATGTAGATGATAAGATTAAGAGCAGGACTGCAGCTGCTCTGGTTAAGATTTACTACAGGGAAAAGAGTATAAGTATATATAAGCAGGATTCCTATGAACAGGAGGTATACAGATGATAAGATTAAGAGCAGGACTGCTGCTGCTCTGTTTAAGCTAAGATTTATTACAGGGAAAAGAGTATAAATATATATATAAGCAGGATTCCTATGAACAGGAGGTATGTAGATGATAAGATTAAGAGCAGGACTGCTGCTGCTCTGGCTACTCAATAAACTCTCAACACTGTTCAAGGCCAGAGCTAGATCTTCAGCTTTCACCTCTGGAAAAGACATTAAGTTAATAACTATTGTTCCTGTTTTTTTTTCCAGGAAATTAAGTTTTCCAATTTTAAGAATTAAAAGTATCGCAAATGTTTCTCTACTTAATTATTTGACAATCTATTGATTTACGTCTGAAGAATTACCCTGGCTCTCCAGGCCTTATTATTATTATTAGCATTCAACCTAGAGTCAAAGTATAAAAACATATATATATATATAGACTATACCTAGTGGACCCTGCCCCTCTTCACCTCCAGGTATATTTAGGCTGGTCAGGTAGATGACCTGACTGTTGACCGGAACATGCAGCGGGAATCTAGAAAAGGTAAACAACATTATTATAGATATCTATATAATAAAGATCTTCGCTCTTATAGATATATAATTATATATTTGTTTGTCTGTATATAGGTTAGCTATAGCTAGCCAAACGTCTAAACCAAATTGGCTGAATTTTTTTTAGGGAACCAATGGGTACCTTGGGGTAACATAGGCTAAAAAAATCGAAATTTTTTTTCTTCAAAAATTAAATTTTTTTCAAAATATTTTTTTTTCAAAATTCGATTTTATTTTCACGAGCAACGCCGGCCACTTCAGCTAGCATTTAAATAAAAATTATATATGTTTGGATTTTTTATTTTCTCTACTAATTAAAAAGAAAATAATCATTATTCTTATTAAGAAAATAATTTTTTAATTTTAAAGTTTATTTTAGGACTTGAGATAATTTCAAGTAAATTCAAATTCTGAACATTTTGCAGATATAAAAATCTAAACCCTAACACACCATCCAATCCTAAAGAGAAAACTGGATTTGATCGTGCGAATCCCATAAACGTTGTTTTCTGGAAATATTTATCAAATAAAAATATGGCGTTTATTAAAGATTTGGGAAAAACCTTGATAAAAACGGATCCAGATATTTGTGAACTGCTCCTTTAATATCCCAGGAGGCCACAACATATTCAGGTTCAGGGACTAGAAGGGAAAGCTGAACATCTATCTTCCCGGTACTTTTCTTTCGGAGAAGGCTAGCCGAGGTTGGACTGGAGGCCGGGGAGGACGGGGTCTCCCATAACCTCGACATTTGTTGCTCACCTAAACAGATATTCTTGATTTAAAGGACTTTAAAATAATTGACAATATGTGATTGATTGATTTGAAAAATATCTTACCCAATACTGTGTCCATGAGCATTGCCGCAATTTGTTGTGAAGGGGTGGCGGAGGTGAAGTAAATAGTTCGGTAATTGCCCGCAACCAATGATGATGGCGAAACCAGCAAAACCCGTGGGGCTTCTACCATGAAAAATTATTCTTATTTATATCATAAATTTTATTTATTTTAATTAAGCAAATAAATTGGAAACTTAAAATTAACTATAAAATCACGATAGTTTATTTGAAGTAATTTTTATAGGCATAAGGTAAAAGATGTCATTTGCCACAAACTCAAATTTTCTAATCCCTGCAGCCTTGCAACCTGATGGGGTAAACCTTTAATATTTAAAACTTAGATTATTTGATCTAACAGAAATCATCGCTTGTGGAAAAACTCAATTCCTTTGATTTTGGTTTTGTGCTTACCTAGCAGAACAACAGCCCCTGGGACGGATCCAGCCAATCCTTTTCCAATCTCCTCATCGACATCTCCCAAGCTGACCGCACTTTCCAGAACTTTACTTTCACGCTCACTTGGTGCGCGCACATTTAAAGATAAATCATAAAGTTGAGAATTTAAGAGTTTTTGAACTTCTGGTCCCCTGGAATGTACACCCTGTGCGTCAGGTGTGATCAGAATAATGTTCACTTTTTGCGTCACATATTCAATGTCTGATAATGCGTCAATTGCGTCATAGGGAAGGAGGGCTCTGTACACTTCAGTCGTACGCCACCAGATTGGAACTCCTTACAATTAATTTTAAATTTCGGAATTACAAAATTAGTTAAATTGAGAATGTAGACGTAGTTTCAAATCTCCTGCTATTTTAAAAGAGGGACATGTCCGATTCACATCGATATCTATTGGCAATTAGTAAACAATGAGAAAGATATCGTCGTTTTTCTATCCTAATATCGGTCAAAATATTACGATTTCCTTCAATGTCTTCACACCACAAATCCGCAAGAGATGCCACAGTTTTAAATAATCAACATGTCAGCTATAATAATAAGAATCTATCTTTCATCCTTCACCAGACTAATACCGGGTACCATGGTGATTTGGACATGCCATCATCAATTCAGGCGGGCCCCCCCCAAAAAAAAAATTACTTACAGAAGTTCGAAATATCATTTCTCAACATTAATAGAGACCTATATAAATATATATAAATATAGAATTCATAAGAGCCTATAAAGATATAATTCTTAAAAACGCTTTTTATAAATTTGGAGAAAAAGAGAAGCTTGTAAAAGTTATAGTAGTTGAACTGAGAATGTATTAAAATGGAGACATTTTTTAGGAATCATTTGAGATCTATGAGACGTTTTAACGGTGCATATTTGTCCAGCAGGAGCGCAAATTCAATCTTTAAAATCCTCATTTTGAGGGATGATTTTGGGAATCGGTTTTTAAAAAATTATTAAATAAGGACGAAGAGAAATTAAAAAAATTCTACAGTAAACTAATTAGTTGTTTAGGAACAGGTTGAGAAAATAAAAATTAACTGTTATTATCGAAAATAAGTAATCTTATTCAGTTATTAGTTTCTGTAATGTCTCATTGCACACAAACGTTTTCTGTATATTTCCTGGAATTTTTATTAAAAAGACGACATTTGAAGAATTTATTGAAATCTGCGAACAAATGCATAAAGAATAAGAAATTCAATATAACTATGAAAAAGAAATAATTGATTCTAACATTGATTTATAGAGAAAATTTCAATTGAGAAATATTTTCCTAAACATCTAATTAGTTTACCGTAGAATTTTTTTAACATCACCGTTATTTAATAATTTTAAAAAAATCGATTTTCAAAACGTTACCACTCAAGTTGATGATTTTGGACGTCGACGTAGTAATGATGGAAACTTTCATAATGTGTCTAATGTCTAAAGGAGACCACTAGAAACTTGTTTAAGGTTTCTAAACTTTAAAAATGTGGCAAAAGAAATTTTCTTTATTGTCAGACTTTTGAGCAAAAGCAGCGCCTGACCTTCTGCAATATTTTGTTAAACCTGCTGACATTTTGTTGACCTTAGAAAAGGATTAATTTGGGTAAACAAATCAAATGATGAAAAGTCCAAATATTCTTGACACCATCGGTTTATTAAGCCTGTAGATAAACTACCAGGTAAATGGCAACCAAAAGGACAAAAAATCCGGCCTCACTTATGATCCTAGCCGCAGTGGGATTGGGTGAAAGAAAACCTACTCTGTATTTCTGTTGAAAAGAGGAAACCGTCAATAGCCAGGTGTTCCAGAAAATGTTGAACTCAAAAATTGCTCCTGGAGCTAACACTGCTTACGGGGAACACACTTATATCTTGGTTTAAGATAATACTCTTCCCCACACAAATATATCAACTGTCTCTCTGATAACGGGTTGGCTATATTTTGGTCTCTGGAGAAAAAAAACCCTTGTTACCCAAATATCTTAGTTTCAATTTTTTACGCGAATGCAAGATTAGGTCCATCGGAAGGTTTACAGAACGATCATTTAGATTAAGAAGATTACTTCTGTCTTCTGGGACGGTTTGGATTAGGACCGGCTGTGAACTATGTGTATTGTGTACCGAGTTTAGAGCTCCGGTAGAGGGACGTTGTTTAGGTTGAAGAAGGTTTGAGTTAGAACCGGCTGTGTACTATGTGTACCGAGTTTAGAGGTCCGGTAGAGGGACATTGTTTAGGTTGAAGAAGGGTTGAATTAGGACCGGCTGTGTACTATGTGTACCGAGTATAGAGCTTCGGTAGAGGACATTGTTTAGGTTGAAGAAGGTTAAATTTGATAAAATATATTCAATCTACTCCCGAACATTCAGTATACGTAAAATCATCTAAATCAGATGTCTAAATTGGGTTTAATATAAAAAATGTTATAATTATTTTAAAAGTTTCCATCTTTACTACGCACCCTGTACATACTTAGTACATTGCCGGTCACTCCCTTTAAGAAGGGGATATTAAGATGTAAACTCAATATTGTAAAACAAAAGCTAAGTTGTTTTTAGACTGATGTATTCTTCATATTCATCTGCCAAGACTGTCCAAACAAACCGATTTAAGTTAGAACCTATTGAATGGAGATCAATACGCATTCTACATTCTATTTTCTAAGATCCTTAATAGTGCAGCGATTTTTAAAAGTGCCCGATTCTTGGGTCGCTACAAAGTTTTAAAGTCTGATTTGACGGTCACTCCATTTTATGTAATCATGACAATAATGAGAGACATTTTACCTAGCACAGCCATTATGAGTATGTATGAGAGGGGTCCCAAGTGGGACTTTATCTTGCTAAGTTCCATCATGAATCTACTCCGCCATTTTATCTGAAAACAAGAGATCTAAGGAATGCAAGGTTAACGGTTTATCACAGAAAAGCACAAACAATGCTAGCAGAACAAAATATCACAAAACGTAACAATATCAAACAAAAATGTTAAAAGAAATGCAAAACATACCAAATCATTTTCATAAAATGAGAAAAAAATGTACATAATAATGCTTTTTTGAGAATCTACTTTAAGGAACCAGTGCGTAAAGGTAATAACAAACTAATATAAATGTTCCATTTCTGAGCACAATAAGTCCAAGCTTTTAGTGCTGGGCCTAGTCATGAACTTTCTGAACTTAAACTTTGTCCTGGTACTTGTCCAGTCCTTAAGCTAGGTCCTGATATTTGTTCTGTCCCTAAGCTAGGTTCTAGTTCTTGTCTGGACCTAAGCTAGGTTCTAGTTTTTCTCCTGAACCCAAATTAGGTTCTAGTTCTTGTCCTGGACCTAAGCTAGGTTCTAGTTCTTGTCCTGGACCCAAACTAGGTTCTAGTTCTTGTCCTGGACCTAAGCTAGGTTCTAGTTCTTGTCCTGGACCCAAGCTAGGTCCTAGTTCTTTTCCTGGACTTGTCCTGATACTTGTCATGGACATAGGTGTTGTCCGGACCAAAGCTATGTGTTGGCGGTGGTCCAGGACCCAGTACTTCTCCTAGTTCTGGTCATGATCCTTGTTATCCTGATCTAAACCAGGATCTGCAATTCTCTTGGTCTTGTCACAAGTGAATCCCATTGTCAGAGCATACCTAATCATATTATTATTATTATCATTATTATTTCTTTTATTGTTTACCTTCAAAGAACGGATCTCAGGCCCAGGGCCTTCATATTAAGCCATGGTAATGTGTATACTATTAGATCGGTAGAACAAGCCAGAGGGGGTACCCATTTGTGCCCCAGAGAATTGATGAAAGCATCAACTTTTAAGGTATGGGGAAATAGTATTGCTTTGCATTTTATAATGCAACCAGTGGACAAACCTAACAGACCCTCCCCCCTAACCTGATACTTATATCTCATTATATCAGGGGAAACAGGGGGTTTCTTCTCTCCTTTTAGGGAAGCTAAACAAAATGGGGCTCTTTGGTTATAAATAAGCAACCAAATCAACGGAAGGATGGCATAATCAAATTAAATAGAGAAGTTTAGGGACTGGTTAAATAAACTACTCAAATCAAATAGTTGTTTGCAGGTATTACTTGATGCAATCTAGAAAAAGATAAAAGATTGTCCAGAAAATGATGACTTTGTCACTGAAAAGGGGCTGTTGACATAATTTCAAGAGATCCTTCATTTGAAGGGTCATATGCCTAATTTGCTATGGTTTATCTAGGCCTTTGTCTGAGTAACAATAAGGGAGATATCATCGTTTTTCTTGAATAGCAATAAATTATATCAATGTCCTTCCTTATCTCGGCATTTATATTGAAAACCCGTTTTAAGATTTAAAAACAATTAGACCATTTTTGCTCCGACAAAGCTTTAAAGAGTCCCAATTATGATTTAGTCACATTACACTTAAACACGAGGTCATCTTTTAGTCACATTACACTTAAACACGAGGTCATCTTTTAGTTACGTCGACTCTAAACAGTCTTTTTTAATTCTTTTTATTAATTCTCCTCCTCAGCTCACATTTTGCATAATAATAACCAACTCTAATTAACAACATAAAGTTAAAAATGTACTTGAACAAAACAACAATTCAAATTGAAATTTCAATAAAGCAAAAAAATAAACCTGGTGCCGCCTGAAACCTCCTCTACTCTATGCCTGAAATGAAATAAAATTTTTAAAGGGTCCTATCAATCAATAAATAAAAAAATAATTTTAAAAAATCCATCAATTATCAAAAAATCACTTAATTAATTAATAATAATCCATCAATTATCAAAAAATCACTTTATTAATAATAATCTATCAATTATCAAAAAATCACTTGATATATTAAATAATTACATAATCAATCAAATAATCACTTAATTTATCAAATAATCACTAAATTAATCAGATCATTAAATCATTGGTCTAAAACGACGAAGCTTATTATGAGATGGATCAAACTCAATAAATTTCAATCTGTAAAACAAATCTAACTGGATATGTGGTTACATTTCCAAAAGAAAACAAGACGGAGAAAAAAAGACCAAAAATAGTGTCGAAATTCAAACTATTATTCAAAGATATGGACGAATAAAAATAAAGTCTATAAATGAAAAGAACATGATACCTGTTTTCAGGGCCGGATGTAAAGACAGAAACCCTTCCCTCTTTAGGTTCTACAGTTCGATTTGTCTTAAAATAAGAGAGACATTATTTTTAAATATTTCAAAAATGCTTGCTTGAATTAGACTTATAAAAAATAGGAAAACGTCCTATTCATTGATTAATTAGGTTTAGGATAATTTAGAAACCATCCTTATTATCAATTAATTGTTTTGACTTATACATAATATAGTATTTATAATATTTTTTTGGATTTACAGATTTTTTTTGCTAGAATAAATAATGAACATTTGCACTTTAACTTCATCAAATAAGGAGGTCAATAAGTATATTCTTAAAAAATCATATTTTCCATGCCCCATCCCCCTCCCCTGAACTCATTAATACACACTCTGACGTATTACCTTAGAATGGTTGTCGATGAATATAAACCTGCCTCCAGTGAAATCCCTCTTATAATTGGTTAGATAGAGTAGGCTAGTATAGTGGAAGGAAGGGTAGGTGTCCTAAACATAGTTAGATAGAGTAGGCTAGAATAGTGGAAGGAAGGGTAGGTGTCCTAAACATAGTTAGATAGAGTAGGCTAGTATAGTGGAAGGAAGGGTAGGTGTCCTAAACATAGTTAGATAGAGTAGGCTAGTATAGTTGAAGGAAGGGTAGGCTAGTATAGTGGAAGGAAGGGTAGGTGTCGTAAACATAGTTAGATAGAGTAGGCAAGTATAGTGGGAGGATAAACTTAATGTATTGTCATTTTCTTCAACATATTTTACTGCAGTGTACCTTATCAATATGGTCGTGCCAGTACTCATCATGGAGTGTCTTGGCTGGTAGAGAAGTCAGCTCAGAGAAAAAGGTGGGGTGGGTCAGATACAGCTAGAAATAGTTACAAATAAAGTTCAAGGTCGACAGGTCAGAAAGTAGAAACGATGTAAATCAAGAAGAAATAAATTTCAAATAAAATTTGGCAGATTTTGTATAAGCCTTGAAAAAAAATGTAATGTATAAAACTGATGTTTTACAATCATGCAAGGGTAACCCATTTATTTAGACAATTTTAACTTTGAAAACTTTATTTTTTCGACAACCCCAGTCTTTTCCTCCTCCGGTATAGCATCAGTCTCCCCCCCCCCTCCCCCGGCCCCCATTCTTCTCTAATAAAACATAGTTATAGTCCCTCTGATCTTCCGTGTATTAAAAAATACCTGGTCGTCATCGATATTAAAGTGCTCCGAGACTGCTCTTTTCACCCGATCCTTAAAATCAATGTTAGTTACAGAAGTAGGTTAAAGGGTCTGAAGACATAATTTCAAGTGACATTCCATCTGAAGAGTTAAACTACTTCTTTCAATTCATTAAATCCGACCTCTGAAATCAACAATTGCTTTAGAGTAGCATAAGGATGACACTGTTCAGTGTTCAGATTTTATTCAGTCCGATTTCTTACACTCATAATTCCTAGCAGCCGACATGTTTTTTTCGAAATATTTAAATAAATGAGAAAATCTTTTGATTGACATATTTGAAAAGTTTCAGGTCGTCATTAAAGTCTTATCTTTTGTGGGTAACCTTGTACAATCTTCTTCTTACCTTGACAGTACTGTACACCTGAAAGTCATGTTTAGTGTACAGGTTGGGATGACTGGTGTACAGGTTTATAAAGTTCTCTCCATAGGACAAAGCTCCAGAATGCAAATCTAAAAACAATCCTTTTGTTTGTTTTGTATTTCTAGAATCCCAACTGTTCAATATCGTCTTCAAAACACTAAAAACAATGTCAGACTCTTTCATACAAAAATGATGCAGCGGCTAGATATCACGTCAACTACAAAATGTACATTCTGATTTATAAAATTTTTAATTGAAAATCTGACATTCGGTTTATTAAACTCAAGCTCTACTAATAACCTACAGGGAGATTTTTAAGTCGATTTTTTTTATTTGTGGTTAATTGAATAAGCAAATCTCTCCTTTTCTTACCAGTGCAGTTGTAATATCTTTAAAGGACCCTATGTATTTGAGAAGATCTTGAAGAAAACGATTCCAGCTTTATTAGTATTAAATTCGTCCTCCATGTGGTTTAACAGTCAAATTGATCAAATATCGGGTTCGAAGTTTAAAAGTTGTTTGAGAGCCTCCTTAAGAAAAATTTACAATTTTGGAGATGATCAATTTCTTAGTCAAAAGTCATGTAATAATGAGTTAATAAATATTAAAATAATCTTTTTGTTGTACCTTATTTTGTTTTTAAAATCACCCAGTAAAATTATTGATTTTAGAGAAGGATGATTTTAGAATTAATTATTTAAATCTCAATTTATGATGTTTACCAAGAATTGAAGCTCCCCCAGCTCCTCCTCCCTTAGAGAGTCCTTTCTTAGCGATATCCAGGAGTGCGTGGGCTTCTGCCGTGGACACCAGGTTGTCTACTAGAAATCTACCACACTAAACATCAATGTACATTGTACAACAACAACGTGAACACTGTTAACTGTACGGTGTACATACAAATGTATTCTTTACGCCAAAATTTCGCGAAAACAGTACTCTTTACGAGTTTGTGAATACAAAAAGGGATGGAGACAAAGGCGACATTCAAAAGCAGAACTAATATTAGAATCAAGGATGTTGTTTAATGTTTATATCCTAGGCGTTTTTTTATTTTGCTTTTGAAGTATTAACATGGCAAAACAATTAAACACCCCATTTTAAAATATGTTTAACCCCTTACAAAATAAACGGATGCAAAGTAAATTATAGAAGTAAATCGAAGTAAACAAAATGAAATTTGTACCGACTAGACATCTCAGTCCAATTTAGTGCTCTACTGCATGTACCTTGTACATAGTTTGTACTGCAGTGTATTAAAATAAACTATTGGGCGATTTTGCGCACCTTTTTCTAGTTTTAATTCAGCTGTCCAATTATCCAATTTTAATTGTTATCGACTTTTAGCCATTTTCGCAGATTTTCTGTTTATATTAGTTCATTTTCAAAAATTTCTATTTAGACAGGCGGTGGTCGATTAAACCTTTTCTAGGGTCATGTGAGTTGCCTTAAAAAATCTTGGCCCGATAGGTTTAGCCGTTATGATGTTTATTGGATACAAAAAAAAACAGACAGACAAGTATATAGATTGAAGTTGTACTGCAGTGTACATACAGGGTCACCCACAAAGAATAAGACTTCATAGACGACTGTACGGATTTAATACTGTCTCTTTCCTTATATTCATGATTCCCACAAACTGTAAACTTGTTTCTCCCGTTGATAAATCATATAATAAGCTATTAAAAGACCATTTCAAGATAGAAGACTTGATATAATAAGATTCATTATTTTATAATTTCAGGTCGTCTTTACAGTCTCAAACTTTGTGGGTAACCCTGTAAATTGTACAGCAGTGTATAAAATAAAGTTGTCCAATGTTATTCCTTTGTGGGAACACAGGGTGGATTTAACTCTTGTATCTCTCTCTTGTAGGTTGGAGAACAAAGGAACTGTTGAACACGTTTTCTAAGACAACAAAAATTAACATAGCTGGGAACTTTAGAATGGGAAACCTTCAATCCCGACTTCTTAATCCGAATATCTAATGTGGACACTTTTAATTTCTTGCTTAATCCACTCTTTTTTGGATATAATACAGAAAAATCAAATACCAGGTTTTTTAAAATTAGAAAGTCCCTTCTGTTTCATTATATTAATCTTGAATGGCGTGCAAAATTTCAAATTTCCTGGCTTCTGATACGTTACTCTGATTGGTTGAATTTTATACACTTTTCAGGATACAAGTACAAAATTAGCTTAGTCTTGAGATTAAGAAAAAGAGAGGATCAAGCATTGATCTCGATATCCACCATTCTAAAGTTCCCAGCTCTAAACTTAAATAAAGTGATTTAAGACTTATTTTTTTATTTTTAGAGAAAAAGTCAGATTCCCAACGCTACAAATCACTTTGTGGAAGTTATTTGTTGATTTGCTAGCAGCTACAAACACAATGAGAAAAAACTGGGAGAATTTAACACTTTTCAAGCTAAAATCATCTCATCCACAATTTTATTCAGAAAAAAGCTTTAAAGGGTTATTTTATCAGGGGTTATCAGAAGTATTAAAAATATGATCATAAAAGAAGCTGAGAAATCGAATTTCTATTTTTACTATAAAATAAAACGTATTTTATCAATTTTAAATTTAAAAAAAATAAGAATTAAAGATGGCCTACATGTCAATATCCTCCTCTACCCCCGCCATTCTTACAAAACCTTCACTCTAAAAATATAAAAATATTTAGAATTCTTTTCATCTTAAATTGATTAGAGTAATTTTATTTCTTCATAACAGAATGATTGTTTTCTTCATACAAGAATAATCTTTTTTAAATGACCAGAATACATTTTTTTCGTCAAAATGACCAAAATAGATTTATTCATTAAAATTACTAGAAATTTTTTTTTCTTCGAAATGACAAGCATAATTTTTTTTCTTTAAAATGACCAGAATCAATATTTTCTTCAAAATGACAAGAATATTTCTTTAAATGACCAGAAAATTTTTTTTTCTTCAAATGACGAGAATAAATTTTTTTTCTTAAAAAAAAACAAAAATATTTTTTTTTCATCAGAATGACTCGAAAATTTTTTTCTTTAAAATAACCAGACTATTTTTTTCTTCAAAATTACCAGAATGGTTGTTTTTCTTCATACCAGAATATTTTTTTTTTCTTCAAAATGACAAGAGGAATTTTTTTTTTCTAATTGACCAGAACATATTTTTTTTCTTCAAAATAACCAGAATATTTTTTTCTTCTTCAAAATCACCAGAATAAATTTTTCTTTCCAACAGAATGACCAAAATACATTTATTTCTTCAAAATGACTAGAATAATTTTTTTCTTCAAATTGACCAGATTAATTTTTCCAAGTTCAAAAAAAGTTCACCTCTTGCATTTTGTTATAAATTAGGTAAATAACAGCCCCTGCTCCGATCACAAGTTTCGCTAAAACATTAAAACAAAACTAATTGGAAAACAAACAAAAAATTTAGAAATCTAAAAATGTAATCCAGTGAAGTGATAACTATTTGATCCAGATAAATATCAATTATGTATCCGTATAATTATCTAATTACTAGCTTGGGAACCCAGCTTAGACTGAAAACTAAGTTGACACACTCAACTTGGAATTGTTTTAATAGACTTAAAGGGCTCGGCATGGTAGTTGAGCTGTAAGTAATTGTAGAGAAAAACATTCATTTGATACCAATGAGACATATTTACGGTTTACAATTTTTAAATAAGAGCGTTGAAGTCGTTTGTAATATTTCACCAGTTGTTTCAGTCAGCAGAAGAAACGTATTTTTACAATTATTTAATAACCCAGACAAAACATGTAAAAAAAATTATTTCAAAGACTAAGTCGCTGTTAAGGATCATATTTTTTAAGGAAATTTTCGATGAAAGCCATAGAATCGATTATTTCATTATCATCATTTCCTTTGCTGTTTCTATAACTTTGTTCGCAGATTTCTTCAAAATGTCGTCTTCATTATGAAAATAAAAATGTATCCGTGACTGTAAATATATAAATTATGTATTCCTATAATTACCTAGCATACTATGGGATATGGATGAATCCTTGTCACTCAGTTTAGGATTGTATCTGCCACGGAGTACTTTTCTATCTTCAACTTTTCTGCCAGAATCCTTTTTATCCGCCGTCCCCGCCTTTTTATCTAAATCCTTCCGCCGACGGGTAACAGTTTCCACCATTTTTACTGTAACACTCTGTAAATAAATATAATCATTTATAAATTTATCTTATTACCATTGTTTCTTTACAAACGTACACTTCTTTAAGAATAATAGATATTGTTTTGGTAGTCTGGTGTAGATACTAACAGGGCATCAAAGTGAAAAATTGGTTTTAGATAGTTGATGCTTTCAAATTGCTGCATGTTGATATGGAGAGAAAAATGTCATCCAGCAATTCGAATATAGCTTCACAATATGACCCGACATTGGTCATAACTTGCTTTTGTTGAGTCAAATTTGAATATAAGTATAAGAGAATAATTTTGAAAAAAAAAGTTTCATTTCGAGTTCTTGTCTAAATCTAAAAAAATTTCCAATTGAGGATTTTGAATCCGAAATTTTCCCAACCATTATTATTTCAAATATAAGAATCAAGTTGTCGTATTTCCATAATCCAACCTTGAAACTGGAGCAATGACTTAAAAAACTTGTAATGGATTGTAATCAAAACAGTCATCATACAAGGAGAGGAGTCTTGAATAACTATTTTGCCTTTAAAAACTTCTTTCAGGGATGTAAATTTTCTTTAAAAATCACCGCCCCCATCCAATGGCAATCATTTTTCTGTCATCAAAAATCTTTTTTCAAATTTAAAAGAAAAAAGATATAATTTATATTTACGTCTTCTTCTACTGCATTGATCTTGAAAAGATAAATATATACGCAACAACTACATAAATCTACTTTTAAAAAATCCTTTAAATTCAAATTATGGATTACAATAAATACAACTTTTCTAAATTACTAAAATGCTTTGTTGAACTATAACCGATTCATCATGCATAAAAAGGGTGTGAAAACTAATTTTTTTTTGGACAGATTTGGAAATATTTCATAAACGGGATTTAGCTACTCCAGTCATACTAGTCGTAGTAGGGTAACGATCGTTCAACCAGCAACAGGCGGAAAACCACTCAGTCAATCTAGCAGCACTCATAATGGTTTATCACTCATACTTTTTTCACTTAAGCAAAGTTTCACTCAAGAGGAGTAACACTCAAGCAGAGTATCATTCAAGCAGAGTTTTACTTAAGAAGAGTTATACTCAAGAAGATTATCAATCAAGTAGAGTAGATAACTCTAATAGAGTACCACTCTAAGAAAGTATCATTCAAACAAAGTATCATTTAAACAGAGTATCTCAATCTGACAGAGTCGATCACTCTAGCATAGGATCACTAAAGGAGAGTATCACTCAAGCAGAGTATCACTCAAGCAGAGAATCACTCAAGCAGAGAATCACTCAAGCAGAGAATCACTCAAGCAGAGAATCACTCTAGCAGAGAATCACTCAAGCAGAGAATCACTCCAACAGAGTATCTAACTATAACATAGTATCACTCAAGCAGAGAATCACTCAAACAACGCATCACTCAAGCAGAGTATTACTCAATTAGTGAATCATTCAATCAGAGTATCACTCAAGCAGAGAATCACTCAAACAGCGCATTACTCAAGCAGAGTATCACTGAAGCAGAGTATCACTCAAGCATGTAATCACTCAAGCAGAAAATCATTCAAGCAGTGTATAAATCAAGCAGGTTATCACTCAAACAAATTTTTATACAATTCACTTAAGAAAACAATCAATGAATGATCATTCATTCAGAATCTACGAATCATCCAAAAAATCACGTCACTAAAGAACACTAAATCACTCAAACACCTTGTCTTGTTTGACCCTAGATGACTAAATCATTCAAACAAATATTTAGATACCAATTACTACAGTTCCTTGTCAATGTTGTCAGTAGATCTATGGCCGACCTATCTAAACTTCAGCTGATGGCATGATGCAGAATGTCACGTTTTTCTTGAATCTGGCCCGTTTTTTAACTTGTGCGAGAGCACTGAGCATTTACTTGCTTCCACCAGAAATCAAGGAAACCAGCTCCCTTCCGGTCACCTTACCAACCTGTACAGAAATATTGTTACAAAATTCTCAAATATGATATTTTTGCAATATTACAATATTTTTAGAGTGTGTTTTAATATTCTTTAAAATTCAAATAGCCACAAAACCATCGTGAAACAATTTTTCATCGAATTTATATTGAAAAAAATCAAATCCTAAAATGGGGTTGAAAAATAAAAATAACCAGTCAGCAGCTGCACTATGCACATTTTTCAAACCTCCTCTATTCTTTTTGAGACATAACAATATTATTTAAAATGTTTGCTTTTCGGAACTTTATTACTTTTGAAGAAGTAAATTTTTTAAATCATGCTCACACAAAAAAATACTTATAAACCATTTCGAACATGCCAAAAATGTTAAATGTAAAAGAATCATATATTATAATGTTTTGCACAACCTGTATTTACGGATTATAAATTAATTGTGAATATTTTTAAAAAATCATTTCGCATACATTACTGAATATTTACAGGAAATATCTTTCAATTGAATTGAAAAAATTTATCATAAAATGTATGGTAAAATTTTGTCCTACCTTGGTACTAACAAAATACAGAATGCCTGTAACACCTCCAACAGCTAAACCAACCAGGAGACGAAGCTTCCAATGGAAATATGAAGCAGACAGTCTTTTGTGTATACGGTTAACCTACAGAATAATACGGTTAACCTACAGAATAATATGGATAATCTACAGAATAATATGGTTACTCTACAGAATAATACGGTTAACCTACAGAATAACACGGTTAACCTACAATAAAAAAAGGTTAACCTACAGAATAATAAAGTTAACCTACAGAATAATACGGTTAACATACAGAATAATCTGCAGATATGTGTTAAGTTAATCAAGTTAAAGGAGTGTAGGCGTAATTTAAAGTAACCATCTATTTAGAGATTGGAATGTCCGATACACAACTGTACCCTTTTAACCTTAATTAAATCAAACATGGTAAAATCTTGCCGTAATACAACCAATTATTCATTTTTTTCTCAAATCTAAAAAAATATGAATAATATACACCCCTGTCCATTCGTGGTACCTGCTGCCTTGAATCCTCCAGGTTTCCACTGTTTTCAATCACAAACTGAGCCCTGGTGGCCTTCACATCCAAAGGCATCTGTTAAAAATTAAAACTAATATGTAAATAAAACTTTTAGCTTGGCATAATCAGATTGGCAGAGGTTCATAAGGATTCATAAGGAAGTGAAATCTGCAAGAGGTCCCAATGAGGTATATGAGGTAATATCTTAAAATCCCCCACTCTCCTCTATTTCATCCCCTTTGTGTTGGAAAAATGAATTTCAAAGATTTTCGGGGAGAAAAGGAATACATGTACATTAATTGGGAAATACATTTATTTTCCACAATAAGGGGAAGAAGAAAAATTTATGACATACGAAGGGAAGGGGGATTGTTAAGTTTTAACTAACCTGAGCTCCGATCATGAGTTTAGATTCCCTCTCCGATAGATGTCTTTGCTCCATCAACCTCTGGAGCTGGAGATCCTCCTCACACGTGACCACCACGATCTTGTGCATGTAGGGGACCATCACCCCGGCCTCGAACAGCAGGGGCAGATCCATGATGATGAACTGGTAGCCAGAAAAAGCGCATTTTACCGCCTACAAAAGTACCAAAGTAAAAACTTATAAATTGGAAAACCTGGGATTTTTTTTTGGGGGGGGGGGATCACTATGATTAATAGAAACTTTAAAATAAGAATTATTAGATGGGATTTTAGAACTAAAACAGGATATCGACCGATAAAAATAGTTATGGATCACAAAGCAAATAAAAAAGTTAGGTATTTCTGCAATTTTTCTTGGAAAAATCCCTCAGTTTAAAAAAAAAAAAAAATTTAAATATGTATTTGACCGGCCCACCTCCCAGCACATTTCTCTGTAGATTTCAGGGTGTGTTATTCTATTCAGCTTTTGCCGCTGATTCTCATCCTGTAGAGAGAAAAAATAGATGTTTTTTATTATTTAAACAATTTTGGTTGAAAAGGCGTGAACGTGATCAAATCGAACCTCGTCTTGTAAAAGAAAAAGTTAATTAGTTACTTAGAAACAATTTTAGTTAAAAAGGCGAAATGTTCCCTACCGTGAATTATTTTATAAAAATACGAATAAATAATTAAATCGGAAGGATATTGGACATCAAATTTTATTTCACCATATTTTGATACTTTTAACCTGTAAATTTATTTAATTTCCTGTAAAAACCATTTATTTTCCCTCCCAAAAAATATTCCCCCCTCCCCCATTCAGCAAATGACTGCCCTAAAACATCCTAATCTTAAGGGAAAATGATTTCATATTAGAGGCAGGGTTGGGGTAAATATTTATTTTCAAGAAAAAATGTATATACCGAGCCCCGTTACAATGCACTGCAGAATGCAGGGGTGTATACTTTTCAAAATTACCCCCTGGGAAAGGAAAACTTGATTTTTGATAATTCGGGGGAGGGGGTAAAAAATGGGTAAAGCAAGTTTTGTTATTCTTTTTAAAAGTTTTCACCCGAACAGAAAAATTATTTTCTAAAAAGGGGGAGGGGGAATGTCACAATACTACAATTGAAAACAAAATGGCGATATGAAATTAAAAAAATGCACTAAGAAATAAATCTTTCACGCAGGAAAAAAGTAACAAAGAAAAGAAAAAGACTTGCCTCGAATATAATGGTTCTAAGAGCTGCTCGGTTTAATTCACCGTTGTCATGGAATACACAGCTCCCAAACTCATCCCTGGAATAAAGTGATCATGGAATACACAGCTCCCAAACTCATCCCTGGAATAAAGTGATCATGGAATACACAGCTCCCAAACTCATCCCTAGAATGAAGTGATCATGAAATACACAGCTCCTAAACTTATCACTGAAAAAGGGTGCTAAAACTAAAGCAGAAAATTATAGGCCGGTCTCTCTAACTTCAATACCTTGTAAAATGTTTGAATCTATTATCAAGGACCAATTAATAAATCATCTTCTGGACAATCACCTGATAAAAAATACTCAGCATGGATTTCTCAGCAATAAATCTGTTACCACAAATCTCTTAGAATTCCTTGAAAAAATTATTGAGATGTTTGATAATAACAAGCCTCTAGATATAATATACCTGGACTTCGCCAAAGCTTTTGATAAAGTGCCGAAACAAAGACTAATTAAAAAGTTAGAGGCCCATGGAGTTAAAGGAAATGTACTCAAGTGGATCCAAAACTGGCTCACTGGAAGAAAACAACGAATTGTTCCAAATGGTAAAAGCTCAGACTGGTGCGATGTTAAATCAGGTGTACCTCAGGGGTCGGTTCTTGGCCCACTTGCATTCATTGTTTTTATCAATGATATTGATGGTTGCACGGATAACTTATCCGTGCAACCATCAATATCATTGATAAAAGATAACCGTATGATAATTAGTAAATTTGCCGACGACACAAAACAGAGTCATCAACAGGAAGATCATCATCATATTCAGGAAGCACTTGATAAACTGGTGGTCTGGGCAGACACTTGGGGCATGGCTTTCAACACAGCCAAGTGCAAGGTTCTTCACATAGGGAGAAACAACACTGAACATGTCTACAACATGAGGGGGGCTGATCTCACAGTTGTTGATCATGAAACTGATCTTGGAATCATTACCCAAAAAAAATTGCGACCTGGACTACAATGTAAAGAGGCAGCAAAAAAAAAGCCAGAATTGTTCTTGGCCAGATCACACGGGCTTTCACCTATAGAGACAGGCATATTTTTGTGAGACTTATTTAAAACATTTGAAACATTTGAAACATTTGAAACATATGAAACATTTGAAACATTTGAAACATTTGAAACATTTGAAACATTTGAAACATTTGAAACATTTGAAACATTTGAAACATTTGAAATATTTGAAACATTTGAAACATTTGAAACATAAACCTAAACTATACTACGGTGGTAGGCAATTATATCAATATAATAAAGACGACTTTTCATTTAAGTTTTAATTGTTAACAAGCTTTTCTCGAATTACGATTTAACCAGCAATTAAAGAGAACATTTTTTAATTAACAGCTTCTCTTTGTTTCCATGCTTTTGTGTATCCATGCTTTATAAGTTTGATATCAATCAAAATTTAAATCGAAAGTCGTCTTAACTATATCGATAAAATCGCCTACCACCGTATGAAAAACGATCTTTTCACTCTAAATGGGGTGTAAAGCCACTTGGAGTGTTGAGTTTAGAGTGTGAATCAATGTGAAGTATGGAGTGTAAAACCATGTGGAGTATTGAGTTTGAGTTAAGACTAGGGTTTGCAGCGAAAATGCGAAAATTTTCATTCGCATTTCGCAAACTTTTTCGCGAAATTTCGCACTTTATCGCGAAAATGAATGACGCGAAAAAAGCAAAACAAAACGAAAACCATAGGCTTTTATTTGCATTTATTTTTAAAATTCCGAGTTTTTTCGTGAAATTTTCACATTTTTCGCGAACTTTATCACTTCTTATTTCGCGAAAATTTCGTATTTTTCGCGAAACATATTAAAGCGAAATTTCGCGAAAAAACGAAAAATTTCACGAAAATTATTTTCACGAGGAAAATGCGAAATTTTCGCGAAACAATTTTTTCTTTTTGCTGAAAACCCTAGTTTAGAGTGAGAATCTATGTCGAGTGTAAAACCACATGGAGTGTTGAGTTCAGAGTGTGAACTCATTTGGAGTGTTAAGTTTAAAGTGTGAAGCTATGTGAAGCGTTGAGTTTAGAATGTGAAACCATGTGGATTGTGGAGTGTGGAGTAAGAGTGTGAAACTATAGAAGTTTAAAGTGTAAAACTATATTGTGTTGAATTTAGTGTTTAAAACCATGTGAATTGTGGAGTTTTGAGTTTAGAGTGTGAAACCATGTGGAGTGTTGAGTTTATAGTTTGAAACTATGTGGAGTGTTGAGTTTATAGTTTGAAACTATGTGGAGTGTTAAGTGTGAAACCATGACCTCGATGCTCTAGAATTATATTTACACAACCTTTGTTTTTTATAATTAGAACTCATCAACCATGAATACTTTACACTGATTACATTGAAGAGGATAGAAGAGGGGGTATAGGGAAGGGGAGGGGGGATTGAGTACTCAAAAAAACCTTCTACTTTGACTAAAAATGACAAATATCCTTACTTAAAATAATGTTTTTGAAACTCCCAAAAATGGCTATTATATTACAAAATAAATTGATGAATTTTTTCCTTTTAACCAAATATTCAAACTTTAAAGGATGTTTTACTTTGTATAAGAACACACACACCCACTTTTAATGAGTAACACACAATAAGATTATATAATTTGGTTTGGGAAGGGAATCAACACTTGCTTGAGCTATATTATTGGTAACTAGATTTTAGAAAATTATGAGAAACAATTTCTTTTATATGGGACTGGGGCCGGGGGGGGTGAAAATTCGTCATTGCACCCCCCTTTCAGAAGAAAGGGGGGTGCGCCTGCACCCTTGCACCCCCCCCCCCTGGTTACGGGCCTGTAATGTTTGTATTAGCTACGGGTGGGATGTGGGGGCGAAGTTATGAGTTTCTGGCCCAAATATTAAATCTTTAAATATGTGAGGTCAGGCTTAGTGAAAATTGAGTTATAATTGGGTCTCGGGAAACGAGGCGGCTTACGATATTTTCACGAGGGCGGGAGATTTTTGTTAATCTCCCGCCCCCCTTCCCCGTCTTGAGAAATCCCCCCTCCCCCTTGAATTTGTAACGGTATTTTGGTCACTTTCATGTCAAAATGGAAATGTGGGAATTCCAACTTTAAAAATTTTTCCTGGAAGAACAAACTATTTATAAATGATATATAAATTCTTAAGATGTGTTAAGTTGTTTTGGAGTTCTTTAGAAACCCCCTCTCCCCCTCCTAAAGTTTTTTGCTTTACACCTTTCGAAACTGAAGAATACAGACAGCAAGAAGGCTTTAATTTTGAGGCTGTTCATTTTTTCTTTAAATGCAATTTCATAATGATAATTAATGTTTAGGCTTCTTCATATTTTTTTCATTTCGAAGCTATTGATCTTAATTTACAGGGTTACCCGCAAAGGATGAGACTGCAAAGACGACTTGAACCTCCCAAGGTTGAATAAAATCTTTTGTCTGAAAAATATTCTTTCAATTTCTTATTTCATTATCTTCCAGAGAAAGCAACAAGTTTACAGCCACAGGAAACCTTTAACGTAAGAAACATGCAGTATTAATTTCGTACCGTACAATCGTCTCTGAAATCTCATCCTTATGTGGGTAACCCTGTATGTAAAGCATTTACAGAAATGTCTTTTAGTACAGGGTTACCCACAAAGGATGGGACTTCAATAACGACCATAAACTCGTTAAATATGTTGGTATAAAAGTGAAATTAAAATGATTCGGCAATAAAACAGAGTGTACAGTAATAACCATGATTTCTGAGATAGGAAGACGACTTTTAGACTCAAGTTATAACTTTAAAAGGTCCAAAGTGCATGGAACACGGCAATTTATAGGTTATTGTAACTATAAACCAACCCATTTCACTAAATTAGTGATTTAATCAGTGTTTAGTAAAACTATTTGCTTTGCAACAACATCAAATTCACTTAATGCTAAACTGTCGTCTTCCTTTTCTATTGTATTCTGGTTATGACTGGAGGAAAACGAACTAAGTAAGTTTTGTACACTGTAAAGTCGTCTCTGAAGTCTCATTTATTTTGGATAAATCTGTATTTCTAATATGAAAATCAAACAACAGTGCTCATTTGTACTTTGAAATAATGAATCTTGATGTTTATGAGGATAATTATCTTTATGCAGGGTTACACACAATGTATTTTAAAAAAGATCTGAAACCCTTAAAATATGAGGATTCAAAGGTTATGATATTTTTATGGCTTATCATATTGATTTGACAAAGAAAGAAAAAAGTTTACAGCTGCTAGAATCATGAATATCAGGAAACCGTATAAATTCCGTACAGTCGTCTCTGAATGCCTTTTGTGGGTAACCCTGTATGTAAAGCATTTACAGAAATGTCTTTTAGTACAGGGTTACCCACAAAGGATGGGACTTCAATAACGACCATGTGCATGGAACACGGCAATTTATAGGTTATTGTAACTATAAACCAACCCATTTCACTAAATTAGTGATTTAATCAGTGTTTAGTAAAACTATTTGCTTTGCAACAACATCAAATTCACTTAATGCTAAACTGTCGTCTTCCTTTTCTATTGTATTCTGGTTATGACTGAAGGAAAACGAACTAAGTAAGTTTTGTACACTGTAAAGTCGTCTCTGAAGTCTCATTTATTTTGGATAACTCTGTATTTCTAATATGAAAATCAAACAACAGTGCTCATTTGTACTTTGAAATAATGAATCTTGATGTTTATGAGGATAATTATCTTTATGCAGGGTTACACACAATGTATTTTAAAAAAGATCTGAAACCCTTAAAATATGAGGATTCAAAGGTTATGATATTTTTATGGCTTATCATATTGATTTGACAAAGAAAGAAAAACGTTTACAGCTGCTAGAATCATGAATATCAGGAAACCGTATAAATTCCGTACAGTTGTCTCTGAATGCCTTTTGTGGGTAACCCTGTATTTTGATCTAAGTGAAGATACAATGAAAACGTTTCATATTTCTATCCCTTCAAGTCCACAGAAATACAGAACAGGATTTCCAACAAAGGATGTGATTTTATAGACGACTGTACCGAATTTACTGAGTTCTTTTATCATGATTCAATTGAATCACTTATATACTATAACACCGTACGTTATTCACAACAATGTTCATTAAACAACAAAACCTCTGAATAAAATATAAAAGCTGTTCCATATATATTATATCAATACACAAATAATATTGTATGTAAAATTCGATAGTCTCTATTAATTGCATGCTATGCAATTCTTTCAGGCAATTTTTGACAAATATCAGTTTTACTTTTGACAAATATTAGCATATGTTTAACACCAATTTTGCAAGGGCTTTTCAACAAAAAAATTTGAGATCCGTAGTTTAATCATATCTTTTTCGAAAAAATGTATATTAAGCGAACTAAGCAAATATTACGAATTTACTTGAATTTTTATCCAGATAAAAACAGTGAAGATGAAATATCTCGGCAGTAATGTCAAGGGCTCATTTTTTAATATTTACAAGGTGTTCCATGAAACATGACATTTGGGATTAAACTTGAACATCGTCTTTGATATTAAAAGTAATTTGCGGCATTGATTCGTGAACCTAATTTTTAATATACGGTGGCAAGCGAATATAGCAATATGTAAAATGAAGACGACTTTCGATTTCAATTTTGAATTATATCAAGCAGTAAAACAGCCTGGAAACACAAAAATATGGAAACAAAGAGAAGCTGTCAACTAAAAAAGCTTCTCTTTTATTGCTTGTAAACTTGTAATTCGAAAAAAGCTTGTTAACAATTGAAACTTCAATAAAAAGTGGTATTTATTATATTGATATAAAAGTCTACCACCGTTGATTCTTGAAACAACAGTCACAAAAATTCCGCTTATTCTATGCATTTCCAAAACGTGGTTTGCCATTTTTGTGCTTTGTACATTTTGTTTAATTGGATTAAAAAAAACTTGATCAATACTTAATTAATGTTAATATATAATATATTGGTCTTACTTTGTTTAAGATATTAAGAACTTTGATAAGGTTTTCATTCTTCTAGTTTATTATAGCCTGCGGGATTCCATAATGTGGTCTACCGGTTTTGCATCTTCAAAATTGACAGAGATATTAAGAAATCTGTCCAGATTCCATATAATTAAATTACCCGTTTAAATCGTTTAAATCTCTGTCAATGTTAAAGATACAAACAAGGCAGACCACGAATTGGAAAGCTCATATAAGCCGTTAATCTTTATTTTGATACACACTTTGTCATGAATAATAATTCTGTAAAAAAATAAAGACGATTTTACCGTCGTCTCTAAATTCCCGAGTTTATTGGGACACCCTGTATCATAAAAAAAGAAGAGGAAAACAGTACAAAAAGCATTTATTAAAACAAATAAAAACTAACAACGAGGTATAAAATAAAAAACAATACTAGCTATATAAATACTTTATATAGACTTAACTAGACTAATTCCCAAATTTATATCAGCATTCATCTCCATTGAGGGGGCATTACAATATTTATGATCACAATTTATTAGATACAGTTAGTCAAAGCTATACTCTATGTTAGAGAAGGTACAAGTCAATATCGTCTTTATATAGGTCTCGAGGTCCCTTCCCAAATAAGTCTCTGTCCTGTGAATGTCACATACAAATATTAATCCTGGAACCATATTTTAGGATTAGATTCCACGGATGCCAAAATCCTGTGAATGAATCGATTATCGATTTACCACCGATAATTGATTAATCTTAGGTGCAATTGATTGTCAAAGCTATGGTTCAAATCGAGATTCTTTCGAGGCCGGTTAACCCTGCGATCAGGTTGACCGGTTGATGAGCTTGGGGTCGATTTAGAACATGGATCCGCACTTGTTCTTGTGGCAGTCCTTGGGGGAGTTGAAGGTCTTCATCAGCTTGCTGTACTTAGAGGGAACATAAGCCTCAGCAGCGCTAAACAAACAGATGAATTATTATTTTGAATATTTTTCCCAAAAAAATGTTATTATGTTTTTATCCTATAGTCTTTAAAACCTTGTTCTGTTCCATCCTGTTTTTTTGTTATCCTTATGTTTCCTATCTATCTATTTATATACAGGGTGTCCCAAAAAACATGGGAATTCAGTGACGAATTCGATATCGTCTTTTCAAATAATTTATACACTTAATACTTAAATTGGGCCAACAATGTTTATGATTGAACTCTAGTGCTACAGTTTTAGTATAGTTTAGGGCATTTTAATTTTAAAACCGGATTAAAGAGAAAAGGCTCAAGTTCTAAAACTGAAAGTATAATAAAAAGTTTTCCCCCATTTAAAAACATCTGGTGAATTAAATCTTCTGCTTGGCTCAGAGTAGCTGAATTGTAGCAACAGATGAAAGTTGAATAGAGTTAAGAGCTTGAAACATTTGAAACATTTGAAATATTTGAAACATTTATAACATTTGAAACATTTGAAACATTTCAAACATTTGAAACATTTGAAACATTTAAAACATTTGAAACNAGGAAGGGGCAGGAGCAGAATAGGAAGGGGCAGGAGCAGAGTAGGAAGGAGCAGGAGCAGAGTAGGAAGGGGCAGCAGGAGCAGAATAGGAATGAGTTGGAGCAGAATAAGAAGGGGGTTACATGCTGTGGATAGTTAAACCTATCTAGCATAAAACTAGCACGTGTATTAAAACCCATTTCTAGAACTCGAGTTTTTTTTTGGGTTTTCTCTGTATCGTCTATGAAAACGTTTGTTTGTTCAAGGTTGTAAAAAAAACCTTTCTGAATTTGTCTCGTTTTGGGTAAAATTTAGGGACGTATAAAATATTTTATGAGCTCATAATTTAGAAAGTTACACATTTGTGTTTCAATCAAAGACCTTACTTTTTCTTCAATATATATATATATTTATATATAATACAAGAAGACCTGAGATTACATCTTAAAGAACCGAACTTTTGGCTGAAAAATGCTAATTAGTTTATTACCTTACAAAACCGAAACTTGACCTATATTTACTCTCTTTTCATTCTTCATGTTCTCATCAATCAAAATGAAGATAATGTTTTCAAAGAATTTGAATGATTTGTGAGAATCCTGTTAAACTTGGTTTCCTTGGTTCAGGAGAAAGCGGAATCTTGAATTCTTGCTCCCAGCTCAAACCTATACCCTGAGCTGTGTAAGCTTAAACCTATACCTTGAGAAACAAGGTCAGATACACAACACAACCCCAGATACCAGGACAGACAGAGGAGGGGGGGGGGTTAGGAATGAATATACTTAAAACATTAGATTTTATACATCGTTAATATATATATATATAAATCAATAGGGGGTTACCGTGTCCCTGAATGTATTTAGCTCTGGTTCGCGAACTAATTAAAAGATTATCTATGTTGAACTCCTAGTGGGATATAATCTGCAGCACGAGGCCTAAGCTAAACTTGTTAACTTTAATTAGGTACTAGGGTACACGGTGTTTTACTCAGCGGGGGCATGGGGGAGGGGGGGGGATAAAGTAATGAAGAGCTAGGGAAAATCTATTGGTTTTCAAGTTCACGATACCTTTTTTGTTTTCGTTAAAGTCTCTGATAAAAAAATTAACTAATTTTTCGTGGATTTTATCACCACGGAAGAGGGACTTTTAGTTTTGTCTTAAATACTTTTTTAATGTAAACATTTTTTTTTTCGATTTTTCGACAAGCTAATTAAAGCAAATCATTTGATGATGAAAAATCTCGTGTAAGTGTATCAAAGGATTGCTAATAATGGTATTTAATGCATATCGAGGACTTGGCTTTTGCATGCATATAGGAGGCTCATATTATAATGCATGCATGCAGGGTATGCACGAGTGATATCGCAGGATAAACAAAGGGGGAGGGGGGGGGATAAGAGAAAATAATAGGAAGAAGTTGACACAAGGACAAATTCCTTGAAGTTTTGTCTCCTCTGGTCTTCTTAGTTTTCTTGGTTTTCTGACCGAAGAATCCTACTTGGCAACTTTCTCCTGCTGTAAGGTCGACGNAGGAGAGGGGAGGGGTAGGAACAAAGTCATATATTGAGCTGAATAGCTTGGGGTTCGATCCTAAATAATCAGCGGATGTAGGAGAAATGCATGAACTAATGAATGGTTGACCTTCATTCAACTTTTATTGTTTCCTTTTTCAAATCTTTAAACATTCCGTCTTACCCCAACTCTTTGCTTCAGTTTAATTTTTACGCGTAATTTCAAGTGACCCTGAATTTAGCCTGCTTATAAACAGTCTCGTCAAATTTTCAGACAGGGTTGACTTTGAAGTGTTGTACGCCCTAAGCTTAGATTTTACCGCTCTAACTCACTTATGCTTTTCTTTAGTCCTTTACATGTACATTTTAGCACTGTAAAGCACTTGTTGTTAGCTTTAAATTTTTAGAAGTAATTGGCAAAATTCTCAACGATTTTTGCTTTTTGCTTTAAATCACAGTGACGTAAACTTACAGGATTTTATCGTTTTATCTTTAAAAGTGTTGAATTCTTACAGTTTCCATCATTGTCCCAGAGATAGAAAAAAAAACATCTTTGGTGAGAAAACAATTTAAATTTAAGCGTTCAGTCCCTTAAAATGGTAGCTACAGATTTTTTCTATCTCTTAATCTTTTCTATTTGTTTCTTTAATTTTTTAATAGAACCTAAATTTATTTTAGTCTTTTATCTACCTATATACAGGGTTGAAAACAATTATAAGACTTCATAGACGACTGTACGGAGATTATTCATTTTTTTATTCTTAGTTCCTTTCAGCTCTATTCTTTTCTATCATTAGAAAAATTCAGTGCAAGTCACACAAAAAAGTTGTTTAAGTCTCATCTTTTGTTGGTACCCCTGTAAGTATCCCTATTAATTTACTCCTGCTCCAATCCTTTTTTATGTTAAAGTGATATTTTTCAAACAAACTTACGTGAAAACTTTCTTGGAGATTCCGGCATCAGAAATGATTCCTCCGATCTCGCAAGCAACCCTTTCCATACACTCCTCAGACTCCAGGACGGCCATGGTGATGTCTTGGATCCTCTCAACGATGGAGTTACCGGAAACCTCTGGAATTAACAAGATTAAAATCAATTCTCAGGGGTTGAAACTATGCTGCAGATAGAATTGCTGTAAACACAATTGATAGAAAATCAGTTTCTGTAAAATTAAGAATTAAATTAAATAATTTATTCTAGAAACTGCACTCAACATATCAAAGGTTTAAGCAATCATGTTTGCAGTCAAAAATTTATTTATATCATAATATTCTGTTCTTGCTCTAATAGAAATATTTTGTACTGTCATTATATATACTATATTATATTTACTAACATTATATTTATTGTACAGTACAGCCTGTATAATGTACAGGATGTCCCAGTAAACATGGGAATTCAATAACGAATTCGATATCGTCTTTTTTATGAATTAGCATTGTAATACCTGATTTCAAAAGACATAATATTATTATTTATTATTATTATTATTTATTTGTATATTATAATTTCTGTTTTTCCAAGTACAACCGTATGCAGTACATAAACAAACCAATTGTAAACATAGCATACGAAAATCTTACGAATTACAGCTTTCTCAGTCATGTATCACTATACTAAATCAAAGAATTATTTGAAAAGACGATATCGAATTCTTCACTGAATTTCCATGTTCATGGGACATCCTGTACATGTGATACACACCATATATAGTTATGTACCAAACCTTATTAAATACTAAAAATTGTTCCAAGCCCGACAATAAAATAAGGTTTTAAATAATAGAGAATTTGCTTGCAAATTTATTTGTACATTTAAAAGTGGCTAATTAGTAAATGACTAAAAGTACAAGGTCCCTGTTCAATGTTAAAATAATCTATGCACAAGAACAAGGTCAAAGTCAGTGGAACATAATAATTCAGAAACCAACCCACTGTAACATTTTCGATATCAAATGATTAATTTTTACAAATAATTACTTTTTACCAGAACTATTTTTAAGAGATTAAAACATTAGATTTTATACATCGTTAATATATATATATATAAATCAATAATATATATATATATATATATACATAACAATCCAATATTAAACCAAATATTCATACATGAATAGATATGTAACACTACAACCTATGGTTCATGGTTTATAGTTTAAAAAGTGAAATTTTCAAAATTAAGATAAAATTCTTTTTAGAGTAGTATGAATATTTTTGAATAAATATTTTTATATTCAGAAATGTGGGTTATGTTAGCTGGTGAAATATTGGTTAGTAAATTGACTAAATTACCATCTAATTGATTGATTGATTTAAGATCAATTTACTGGGATATCCTCCTGACTTCATAGAGACCTTTGACTTAATAATTTGACCTGCTTGAACCAGAACTTTCAAATCCTTTCGAGTATTGTAATTTTTTTCCTTACCAGGGGGGGCTAAAAATCTCCTGAAACGCAGAGATTTCACTGGTCCAGGGGGGTCTTAGCCCCCATAGTCCCCCCCTTGAGAACGGCTCTGAATGTTATGATTATGTATCTAAATAAAACGGACCTAATTTTTTAAACGATGTTTTGTCGTGGACTGCAGTAAGACAGGATATACAGAAAATTAGAGAGAAATCTAATCCAAAAGAAAAACCGCCAAATGTCTGAAGATTTGAATAATGGGTCGAAACCGTGGGAGGGGTGGGGGGGATACAACTTTCACTCCTTGAAACATCCATCTATCTATCTATCTATCCAACTAGTTTCTGAATCAGGTTTGACCCAACCTTGACTCAGGGTATAAAGTGAATCCTAGGATAGAAATATGTCCTGGAGCTTCTTAAAGGAACTATAGGATAGAATTAGGTCCCGGAGCTTCTTAAAGGGACTGTAAGATATAATTAGGTCCCGGTGCTTCTGAAGGGGCTTCTAGGACAGAATTAGGTCCCGGAGCTTCTTAAAGGGACTGTAGGATAGAATTAGGTCCCGGAGCTTCTTAAAGGGACTGTAGGCCTAATTTCATGTGACCCTCCATAACAGTGTGGCATGTTCGATTCACCATAGTACCAGCTTGAAACAATTGTCTGAATAACGAGGAAAATATCCGTAATTTCTAGCTAAAACTTTATCAAGACAGGGTTAAAGGAATGTAGCAGTAATGTAGCACCAGGAGAAATCCCGGGAAACGTTTTAGCATGGTTCCGAGATATTAGGAGTAAAAGCTTTATTTCCGGAATTGAGTATTTAACTGCGCCTGAACCTTCATGTTTCCGGTTTAAAACCAGGGTTTAAACCCCCATTAAACTTTCACTTAAATCTTGAGGAAGGTTAAATTATTCTTAGATATAACCCCATTCAACCAGATACACTGACCATATTCTTTAATGTCCCAGTTTAATGTTGGTATGATAAAACATTCGTAGAATGAATGTATTGTTTACACCCCTGTAGGTTTGCATAAATAATTAGGTTCAGAGTAGGTTTAGATTTCAATTAAGATGCCCCCTTTAGGATTGAAATGCAATAAATTACGATGTCCAAATTGTACATAAATATTATGTACAAAGTTGGAGCAATGATCAATAAAATGGATGTTATACATAAAAATATGCTTGGTGTAAAACTATAAAGATGAAAGGAAGAAAATGCTTGAGGGCCGGGTGTTGGGTATAGGTCGAGTTATACATTATAAATCATATATTTTATGCTTCTTGTTCTCAACCTCTTAAATCAACTAAATTAAGGACTAGGTTAGAAGGAAGTAATCCCATTATATTTGAGTTCATGTATTGTATATATCTATTTGCATTATTATGTTACACAATATACATCTATATAATAGACCCGTGTATGCTGTATCTTGTATATATGTCAAATACATAATATATGTATCATGTGCACATATAGATTTAAATATAAAAAGTTAGATAAAAGTAAAAGAATAAGTGTTATGAGCAGAATTTGTACTTTAGAATAAGTTTTCTACTAATAATTTGAAGACATAATTTGAAGTTATGATTTAAACCTTTTTGCTTTAGATATTTAAAAAGTTTGAATTCTAAGATAAGTAAAAGAATGTTTTAAATGTCGGAATGAATACACGTGTCCATTAGATTCCAACAATTTTTAATTTTAATTGAAAATAGATACATACCAGATCTGATAACGAATCCTATGCATCACATTATTTTTGTGATACTAATACCATTTTGTGATAAATAGGGCTAGTGTGTGATGCACGATGCATAATCTTGGTTTTTGATGCAGATAATTTACATTTGATGCATGTATTTAATTAAAAATAAAACATATATGTGACATACCATAAGTTTGTAATGCATTGCTACATGATGCATATCACATGTTTGTGATGCATTATAAACAAATTATTTTAATATGCATCATATATGCATGTGTGTAAGTGAGTATTTTAAGATAAAGTACTTTGTTTTGTCATGTGTTGTTAAGAAATACAGCACACCGGACTAACCAGAGTGAGAACCATTCGGTTTCTTCTATTTGAAAACAGACGCGTTTTGGCCGATAATTCAACAACCTTTAAACTTAAGGATTTGTTTGTTTTTTCTTTTTCATTAACAAATTTTGTGCCGACAAAAAAGTACTAAAAAATGGGCCAGCAAATTATGTTTAAGGGGTCAAATTGAGATCGAATCTCAGGCCTTTTTGGAATATTGACAGAACCGTTAAATCCACGTGACAGAGCTAATTAAGATTTCTTTTCTATTAATTGTATAAATTACAGCTGTAATTGCATAATTATCTGTATTTTGTATATGTACCTAAAATATGTATATGTACGACCTACGTGTACGCTTCATATATATGTTGTTGAGAACCCTTCAAAATAAAAAGTTTGAAAACTGCAAATTTGTGAAGGGCTCTCTTTGATAAACCAAAGTTTCAATTATAAACTGAACTGGAGCGGAACTTTATTTAAAAATTAGATAAATGAGACTTTGATTTATTTTTTAATTTACATAATTTTCACTTTTCATCGCAAATTTTTCTAATTTATAGTGCCAAATCAGATTTTTCTTAAATAATGGAGCTGTGAAAACTATGTAGCTCACAGGATGTCTCAACAAGTAATCATGCATTGCAGAGTTGTGACACCTTGTAATAAAAATGTATTTGTTTGTGTAACTCACCCTCCTCAGCTCCTCTCTTCCTTCTGCCGTTGGTAACGGGAACAACAGTGGTGCTGGGGAAAAGGAGGAAAAGTCCGAGAACGATGACAATGGGGACCCAGACCCAGCCAAGTCCGAATCCAAGGAAGGGTCCTGTATCAGTAGTACCATAAGGCGCAGGAGCATAAGATTCGGGGGCGGTGTATCCGGTGTCATATCCAGCATCATATCCTCCGGCGGAGGGGGCATATCCAGCTCCAGAGTCATAGGCAGGTTGCTCATAACCAGAAGCAGGTGCTGAGTATCCAGCTGCTGGTTCTTGGTATCCTGATGAAGGTGCTGGGGCAGCAGCTGCGGAGTGATCGTGATGATGTCCTCCGGCTCCGTCAGGGCGGGCCAGGGTAGTTCCAACGCATAGGGCAATAACTAAGTACTTCATTGTGTGCTGTGTTTATGTTTGTGCAAAACTATCTGTGTATTTATCTGAAATATGTGAGAGATTAAAATATGGTAGATGGGTTTTCCTACCTTGATTTTCATGCACATCAACATAAGATCGTCTTCGCCGACGTACAGTGTTGAGGGATACATAGGTTGGGAAAAGCAGGGATAGACCAATTAGGGCAATGATTGGTATAATGATTGAAGTAAGGTCAAGACCTCCTAAACCTCCTCCTCCGGGGGCTCCATAACCAGAAGAAGGAGGTCCATAACCACTGGCTGGGGCATCATAGGATGCTTCAGGAGCTCCATAGGCAGGAGCAGGGGCAGAATAGGAAGGAGCAGGAGCAGAATAAGAGGGAGCAGGAGCAGAATAGGAGGGAGCAGGAGCAGAATAGGAAGGGGCAGGAGCAGAATAGGAAGGGGCAGGAGCAGAATAGGAAGGGGCAGGAGCAGAATAGGAAGGGGCAGGAGCAGAGTAGGAAGGAGCAGGAGCAGAGTAGGAAGGGGCAGCAGGAGCAGAATAGGAATGAGTTGGAGCAGAATAAGAAGGAGCAGGGGCAGAATAAGAAGGAGCAGGGACAGAATAAGAAGGAGCAGAGAATGATTCAACATGATTGTGGGATCCTCCATCCCGTCTTATGAAGCTTTCATAATCTTCATCATCTACATCTCTTTTAACAATATTCTCCCCATTCATAAAGGCAAGCTTGGAGTGCATTTTCGTTCAGTCTCTTTACCAGATTATTTACAATAAACCACTGAAAAATACAAATATTTCTTAATGCATGTTTCCGGGATGCCACCTTACCTTCGGTACCATCCATTGACCGGCGCCGTCGAACTGATGTCAAGGTGACGCTATTTGGGAAAAGAAGGCTAATACCAATCAGACCAAGAATGATTATAACGACTGGGGTGAAATCAAAGCCACCTCCAACATCTCCATTGTAAGAGGGCACTGCGGGAGCGCCATATCCTTGATTATCCCGCTCAGAAGGAAGCTCTTGTGCGAAAGCTAAAGCTATCCCACTGAGAAAGACAAAGTTCCAAAGCATTTTGCAAGAAGCAGTTCCTGTAACAGGCAAGAGCATTTGAATGCAGTATTAGAAAGTACATATGTATAGCCTGAAAGTATTGCTGCTAAAAAGTTTCAGAATTTTCCCACTTTCCAAAATTCCCCCGAATCAAACGTGCTTGAGTGACCTTATCAGCTTATCAGCTTGAGTATGCCAATTAAACATTAAAGGATGAGGAAGATGGGAAGTTAAGTAAACAGAGGCCGAATTAAAAAATTTTTGAGCTGGTTCTTAAATTTACGCCGCTGTTCAAATATGGCTGGTTCCACTTAAAAGTGTATTAAATTTTTCAAGATTTAAGCCGGCGCTCAATTGAAACCGGTTTTTGAAGGATTTGAAACGCGACTTAAATTCATTAAATTCGGACACTTTACTCATGAAACAGAGATAATAATTTGTAAGAAGTAATTATAGTGAGAGTGAATTTATTACAAAGGAATAAAAAGAGTGTAGAAAAAAAGGAAAAAGAATGAGTGACCAAGGGAAAGTGAACTTAAGAAAAAAAGGAAAATGAAAGGATTGAAAGTCAATCCGGGAAAGCAAAAAAGGTGGAAAGTGAATGAAAAGAAAAGAAAGAGTGAATAAGAGAAATTAAAATAAAGAATAGTTGAATTTAGGTGTGGTCAACTGAACTCTGATTTTGCATACAAACAATCGAACATACATAAAGTGCTAATAAATACATTGTTTTGCAATTTTGCCATTCGCTACATTCAAATATTTGCAAAATATTTAGCATTCTTTTCCCATATCCGGTCAGCGGCATGGTACCCACGCGTATATTTACAAATAAAGCATTCCTAAACTAAATCAAGGCGTTATATGCGTAATATTTGCACAATGCGTAACAAATGAGTAAACGATTTCTTTATCATGCAAACTTTGCGTAAAACTTACATTTGAAAAAGTCATGAACAATGAACAATGAACATATGTGGTATAACAGAAGTTTAAAAAATAAAAAAATAAAATTATAGTTAATCACGGACAGTTTCCTACATGTTATTTGCCAACATAATTTACGCAATAATTAATTAAAAGAAACATTCCAATCATAATTTTTCCAAAGAGACATGCAAAAAGCAGAACATTTGAAGACTAAATCATAATCAATATAACTAAACCTAATAAATAATGATAAAATGTGCAAGGGGGCAGGGGGGGTTTCCTAATTTCAAAAAATCGAAATTAAGCTACTAGAAGAAGAAGGGAAAACTTAGATTTTTATTAGATTGTTAAATGATTAAAAAATTTTAAATAAAAAAGTGTGTTTTTGGAATTTTGGAGTAATTGCGGGTTAGAGGGGGGGGGGGGAACAGTGAAGCAGCAACAGCGGGGGAAGGAGTGGGTATATCTCAAGAAATATATCTGAATTACGATCTAAGGACCTAGGACCCTGTCAAGTCAGAAAGTGGAAAGATTAAACGATTTCAAGAAAATGTTGCAACCTTTGCTGGACAGTGGACACCACTTAAATTAAAAAAAATTAATTTTGTTTAATATTCAAATTTAATGCGGCCTTGTACGGTTAAAAAATCTTTAATTATTTATTATAAACTTTTGTACAAAAGAACTGAACATTTGCCACAAACTCTAGTTTTCGAATCCTTTTATCTTTGCAAAATTACATTAAAGACATTTTCTTATGATTAAAATAGTTTATTCTGTGAGATCATGATTTAAATATAAGGTTGCGAACATTTTAGAAATAGGAAAATTGAGTTTAGTAGCGAGTAATCAGTTTCTCTCATAATGTATGCCATTAAATAACAGCAACCGAACTTTTTAAAGAGATTAGTGTCAGGTTTGTTCTCTCTCTCAATCTTTATAATTTTTAAAATCTTTAAAAACCAGAAACTCTATTTGAATTTGATAAGCGTGCATATATATTGGATGCGTGTTAAGAAAATGTTGATTGTAAACTTGAATGCACATGCAACCCCCCCCCCATCTACACTTTTACCTCACGGGGTGACTAATTAACCTCCCCCCCATCCCGACATTCTAACATGCATTGCCTATTAGCCCTACCCCCATTAAACATATATTACCCATTTGCCTCCCCCCCATTTCCTCCCCCACTGCATCTCTACGTTCAAGCTATGTGGGCATAGGATTAGATGTGTCTTGTAAGATTTGTATGATGATTGTAAATATTAAAAATAAACTTGCTATCCAAATCAATTCTTAAAGTCATTACAAAAGTTAAAGTAACGGTTTAAGAACATCATAATTGTAATACAACATAAAGAAAACAAAATATTAGAGTTTTTAAACATGAATCTAGTTTTTCAAGTTTTTACAATGAACAAATTAAAATGAAAGAAAACCAAAATTACTGTTCAAGAAATGTTTGTTTTTTGACAATAAATAAAGTCTGTGTAACCAACATTTTGCATGAAACAGGTGATCAGAATCCACCTCTAGAAATCCATTAACAAGCATTAAAAAAAAATAAGATGGTTTAATATTCAAATTATTGAATCTATTGATGAATCTTCTCTCCCCTGAAGCAAGGTATTGCCTAGCTGGGAAAATATAAAATATTTTCAGAAAAATTCACAGGACACTTAGCATATAATAAGCAACATGGGAAATAATGTAAATAAGGTGACAAGAAGGAATGGGGAGAGAAAGGGGGGGGGATTAAATATTTTAATTCTGTAGTACCCTTTAGTTATCAGTGGATGAGGATATGATTGATGAGTTTGACCTATTTGAACAATCTTAACACAAGATCTTGTTTGTTTATGTTGTAAAGCACTGGACTTTAAAAATCTTATCTTTATATATGTTTTAAGCGTGTAAATGAGTAAATTATGGTGCACGCGTGGTTTTTTCATAATTGGTTTTAAGCATACGAAAAATGTAGAAATGTGTTTTGATTTTTATATTTTATATTCATGTTTCTTTTACGTCTAATTTTCTAACTATGAACTCAATAACTGAGTATAGAATTTTCTTTAAGTATATTCAATGCGCGTCGAATTTTGGATCGCGCGCTACTTCTTCCTACTATGAATATATGTTATGTCGCTTCGGAGAACTGCACAGAACTGATACCTTAGCGAACATTTCTCCATGGTTTGAAAAATCCAGGTCACGAGGCGGTACAGAGGGACCTTATAGCGCACTCCTTCAAACCTCTCCTTGGGGCACACCAAAACCAGGGATACTGAAATACAGGGATACAAGGATACAGGGATACAGGGATACAGGGATACAGGGATACAGGGATACAGGGATACAGGAATACAGGGATACAGGGATACAGGGAGACAGGGATATACAGGAACACAGGGACACAGGAATAAAGGGATACAAGGATACAGGGATACAGGGATACAGGGATACAGGAATACAGGGATACAGGGATATACAGGAATACAGGGATACAGGGATATACAGGAATACAGGGACACAGGAATAAAGGGATACAGGGATACAGGGATAAAGGGATACAGGGATACAGGGATACAGGGATACAGGGATACAGGGATACAGGGATACGGGGATACGGGGATATACATAAATACAGGAATAAAGGGATACAGGGATACAGGGATACAGGAATACAGGGATACAGGGATATACAGGAATACAGGGATACAGGGATATACAGGAATACAGGGACACAGGAATAAAGGGATACAGGGATACAGGGATACAGGGATACAGGGATACAGGGATACAGGGATTCAGGTATACAGGGATACAGGGATACAGGGATACGGGGATATACATAAATACAGGGATACAGGGATACAGGGAGAGAGGGATACAGGGATGTAGGGAAACAGGGATACTGATTACTGATTACTGATTACAAAGGAACTGATTACTGATTACAAAACTATAAGGTTCTAATCCCTTCAAAACATTTTTGAATATTTTAAATTTCTAACATTTGATCTGACAGAATTTATAGTTCAAATTATCAAAGGTCTATACGAAATCAGGCTGCAAAGATAGAAAATTAGAGTTTTGAAAATATTTAGAATGATGAATTTAATGATCAAATTAACAAAGTAATAAAACTCTTATTAAATGAATTGAAAATTACATGATTAAAGAAAAGTGAAGGGCAATCAGACTGTACAACTTTTTTATCTTATTTATTAACCCTATCTCTGCTGGGGTACTTGAAAACCAGGATATACTGGGGGGGGGGGTAATTTTGCCCCCCCCCCCTCTAAATCCCATGTTTGATGTCCAAATATGACAAATGATACATCATTAGAAAGCTCTTGTGCTCTGCTTTTAGAATCTGCAAAAATTTGAAAAAAGTCTTCAGAACTTTAGAAGTCTTGGATTTGTCTTCTGTTTTAAGCAACTTGCACTTTTGAATCGTAAGCTATTTGATTTGACATTGAATTTTTAAATAAATTGTTTTCAAAAGTTAAAAAAAATACTTTTCTTTCCCTATATGAAACTCATTATTTTATGTTTCTTTACCTTAATTATTGATATTTTGGCAGCTAATTTTTACTCTTGCTTTCATTTTTAATCCATCCATCGGCCCTCCCCCTCCATCCATCGGGCTTCCCCCCACATCCACCGGACCTTCCCCCCCCCATCCCTGCATGGTTCAAATATGCATTTATTTACTGTGAGACTTTTATAAAGAATTAGGGACATGAAGAAATAATCTTAAAGTCTATTGAATAAAAGATTCTATTTGTAAAATTAATATTGTAATCATAAATTAAAATTCATCGCCCTGAAAACGTATCTGGACTTGCACTCCAGATTTAATTTAATCGCTTTACACCTAATCTTACAAAAAATGAAACCTCTTATTTTCGTGGATTTAGCAAGAAACGTATTAAACACATTATACAATGGTAATATTCTGTATTTTAACCTTTAAAACATATGTTCTGAAAAAGTGGTTCAAACAGTGGCTTAACCCTTCTTATGAAATATTCCAGAAACCAAGAAGGTTTGCAGTAAAGTCACACAGAACAATAGAATATAAGAACAAAGGAATTCTAGAACATGGAAACTGAGAAATATGGAAAAATTAAGAAACAAGGAAACCCTGGAACCTGTTTACACACAAGGAATCTAAGAACCTGTAACCCTGGAACCTGTTTACACACAAGGAATCTATAAGAACCTGGAACCCCCCGAAACTGTTTACAAACATGGAATCTAAGAAGCTGGAACCCCTGGAACCTAGGCACCTGAAAAACCCCGGAACCTGTTTACAAACATGGCATCTAGGAACTTGGAACCCCTGGAACCTGTTTACAAACATGGAACCTAGTTACCTGGAACAGCTGGAAACTGTTTAAAAACATAGAATCTAGGAACCTGGAAACCTGGAAACACTGAATGCTGTTTACAAACATGGAACCTGGGAACCTGAGTACACCGGAGCCTTGGAACCGGGAAACCCTGGAGCCTTGGAACCGGGAAACCCTAAACCTTTTTAGAAACATTAAACCGAGGAACATGGAAACCCAGAGACCTGTTGAGAAATATGGAACCTAGGAACCTGGAAACCCTGGATCTCAGGATAAATAGAAACTTTGAAACTTAGAAACATTATCATAGAAGTTTTTGAAACAAAACATAAAACAGGGGCTCAGGAAAAAAACAAAAATAAAAAACAGGATTCTAGGAAACAGAGAGTCCAGAAAACTGAAGAAATGAAGAACAGTAGCTCAGGAAACAGGAGAAATGAAGAACAGGTCCCCAGGAAACATCAAAAATGAAGAACAGGACCCCAGGAAACATGAAGAATGAATACCAAGACCCCAAGAAACAGGATGAATGAAGAACAGGACCCTAGGAAATATAAAGAATGAATAACATTACCCCAGGAAACAGGAGAAATGAAGGACAGGTCCCCAGGAAACATGAAGAATAAAGAACAGGATCCCAGGTAACATTAAGAATGAATAACAAGACCCCAGGAAACAGGAGAAATGAAGAACAGGACCCCAGGAAACAGGAAAAATGAAGGACAGGTACCCAGGAAATATGAAGAATAAAGAACAGAACCCCAGGAAACATTAAGAATGAATAACAAGACCCCAAGAAACAAGAGGAATGAAGAACAGGACCCCAGGAAACATGAAGAATGAATAACAAGACCCCAGGAAACAGGAGAAATGAAGAACAGGACCCCAGGAAACAAGAGAAATGAAGAACAGGTCCCCAGGAAACATGAAGAATGAGGAACAGGGCCCCAGGAAACATGAAGAATGAATAACAAGACCCCAAGAAAAAGAGGAATGACAAACAGGACCCCAGGAAACAGGAGAAATGAAGAACAGGACCCCAGAAAACATGAAGATCGAAGAACAGGACCCCGGAAAACAGGAGAAAAGAAGAACAGGACTCCAGGAAACAGGATAAATGAATTCAGGACCCCAGGAAACAAAAAGATGAAGAACAAGACCCCAGGAAACAGGAAAAATAAAGAACAGAACCCCAGGAACCAGAAATAGACCAAAATTAAAGAAGATAAATAGGAAGAATAAAACGTGTCCCCTGGAAAAGTCTTTATGTCTACAGGTCTGTAGTGTTTATGCCTGTTGTGTGCAGTTCAGACAAAAACAATCCTGTACATTTTTTAGACTTTTTTCATTTCCAGTTTCTCTGCTAAAGTGACTTGCGCAATTGGGAAACTTACAGAGGGTATCTTCCACATTAGATTAAGGTTTAAAGGGTACCGTTGTAAATCGGGTATTGCCATCTTTACATGAAGGGTCTCTTTAAATTACGCTTACAGTCCCTAAAAGTAACTATTAAAGGTCCATGATGAGAGTCATTTAAATTCAAAGATTCATTTATTGGATGATTTGCGCTCTTGTAAAGTTTCACTGTCCCTGAGAATTAATCTTAAATACATTCTGACCTAACTTTGGCCTTCATCCTTTTACATACCGGTTATACAGGTTCAAAAACATGTAGGTTTATAAACATACAGGTTTATAAACATACAGGTTTATAAACATACAGGTTCAAAAACATACAGCTTTATATTTATAGAGGTTCATAAACTTACAGGTTCATAAACTTACAGCTTTATAAACATACAGGTTCATAAACATACAGCTTTATATATAAAGTTTGTAAAAAGTTACGAAAAAGAAAGCGAAGATAAAGAGGGGAAAAATACCGGTTCGCGACAATGTTTAAAGTGAAAGTTTAAAACATCAATAAACTACTTGAGCATATTTGCAAACTATTGACAGAAACAATTAACACCCATTTTTGAAAACATTTTTGACAGAGGCGTATTCAGGGAGGGGGGCTATGGGGGCTATGGGAGCAGTTAAATCTATTGATTTCAGGGGGTTTTCAGTTCCCAACGGGTGCTGAGCCCCCCCCCCCTCTGGAAAGCACAAAAATTATTAAGACATCCCTGTAGCATTTTCTGTTGTAATGCTTATCACGATCTTTATTATCTATGTTATCAATATATGTCTTATCTATTTTAATGTTGCTCGGACCGGCTGATCCGGTCAGTTTAATTGACCTGTATATAAATAAATTTAGTACTACATGAATCTTCGTATTATACGGAGGAATATAGAGCCTTGAGTTTTGGCTAGAGATGGAGTCAGTGAGACTATAATTAGACTTTGAGTAGCGTAATCTCAGGACCTAGATTTATTACATCCCCTGGACAAATTCCTGATTTTTGACCGCCCTCACTCCAGCCTACAACATAATGACTCATTTGAAAGTTGAAACCTAGAAACATAAACTAAAATACCTTCGTATTAAAGTTAATCAAATTAGGGCTGAAGATACTTAAATGTGAAATTAAGGTTCAAATAATGGAAGAATTTAGGAATAGTCTAAACTAAAGACATTGAACAAGACAATGAAAATTAACTGAAATCTCTCATTTGACAAAAGACAAAGAGGAAATGTCTAAAGGCAGAAAGAGAAATAAAGTATCCTTAAAATTTACATGTAGTGAAAGGAAGACCTAAAAGTGAAAGGAAGGTCTAGCTGGAAGAGAAAGGAAAGCCGGAAAGCGAAATAAATGCCTGAGAGTAAAAGGAAGGCCTGAAAAATGAAAGGAATGTTTTGCTGAAAATAAAAGGAAGGCCTAAAAGTC